ATTTGAGTGAATCTTCACAGCTGCAGGTGGAGGAGTCGACCCCTCCATCTGTGAGCTCAGTGCCTGTCGATTCCCAGGCTGGCCAGTCCCAGGATAATGAGTTATTCGGCCTTGAAGGTGATGGGGACTTGGTTAGGGAGGACCCTTTGCAATTAAGGGTACGCCGAAGTGCTCAGCTTGCTAACAAATGGGAGGTTCGTGGTCAACGTAATGCTTTCATGCTAGGGAAAGATATTTAACGATCTGATTGAAGTCAACCGTTTGTCAGTGCAACTTTGCTTACACTCTGTTAACTTCTCTGGAATTGCCTCGGCTTTTGGGGAGAGCTTTTGGCTCTTTGGGACTTTGGTTTTGAACTTGGTTTCTGGGGACTCTGTCATGTTGCCATGAATTCTTGTTTGACCAATGCTTGTTGATTATACTTCATGTTATTTGCCTTTGGACCTTGGAAACTCTGCCTTTGCATTTAAGACTCTGTTTGGCTATTGAACTTTTGCAACCTTATTTCTATGTATATATGATTTTGCTTTTTCTTCAATATACTACAAAACCTACAGCCTTGGTGTGTGGTGGTGTTCTGAGCAAGGTGAATCTATCCTGAGTTGTGACAATAATAGTGATTTATAAATCATTCATCAGTACTTTTCTGGGGATTTACGTAGAAGGCCCGGAAAAATCACATCTTGGGTTGTTGTAGGTTTTCCGGGCTATATGGCCATGTTCTAGAGGCATTTTCTCCTGACATTTCGCCTGCATCTATGGCAAGCACCCTCAGAGGTAGTGAGGTCTGTTGGAAGTAGGAAAAATGGGTTTATATATCTGTGGAATGAGCAGGGTGGGACAAAGGACTCTTGTCTGCTGGAGTTAGGTGTGAATGTTTCAACTGACTACCTTGATTAGCATTTAATGGCTTGGAAGTGCCTGGGGGAATCTTTCTTTGAGAGGTGATTTGATGTGCCTGATTGTTTACTCTCTGTTGTTTTGCTATTGTAATTTTTAAGTTTTTTAATCACATCTTCCTTCCCAAATTCTCTTCTTTTGTTAATATGGCACATATATTTTTTGCTGACATGTAGGCCTAAGACTGACACAGCTGCATACTCATAGAAAATAGGTTGTGGAAAAAGATCAAGCTGAGTAACAGATAGGCTTTTTCTATTAATCTCAGTAAGCAGTTTATTAGCCTAGGGTAACATTCAGCTTTTTTTTTTTTTAAACAGTTTTATAAATTGGGAAGTGAAGCCCATATCAAGCCCTTCTTTGCTACTGCAACAAAGACTGTTCTGCATTTCAAAGGTTTTGTTTGTCACAGGATGAAGTACAGCAGTTCAGCTGTCTTTTATGCTCTTAGTATAAACTTGCAGCAATATACCAGTTTGATATGTACATGAAAAATAGTCTTGACACTGAACCACAAAATTGTTGCAGGGAGTTTGCCTACATATATATAAACATCTACTTGCATAATTCTTTTGTCAGAGCCTTCCACATTAAAAGGAGCATTTCCTAGATTCTGTAAATGTTATTTGCAGCAGGTGATCTTAGTCTTTGTTGCAACAATAAATTAGAATTGCAAGTTTTATTAAAATAATATAAAGGTAAAGGTTTCTCCTGACATTAAGTCTAGTCATGTCTGACTCTAGCGCAGTGGTTCTCAACCTGGGGTCCCCAGATGTTTTTGGCCTTCAACTCCCAGAAATCCTAACAGCTGGTAAACTGGCTGGGATTTCTGGGAGTTGTAGGCCAAAACACCTGGGGACCCAACTGCTCATTGGAGGGAAGGATAGTAGAGGCCAAGATGAAGTACTAGGTTCTTGTGGGTTTTTTCGGGCTATAGGGCCATGTTCTAGAGCATTTCTCCTGACGTTTCGGCTGCATCTATGGCAAGCATCCTCAGAGGTAGTGAGGTCTGTTGGAATTAGGAAAATGGGTTTATATATCTGTGGAATGGCTGGGGTGGGGCAAAGAGCTCTTCTCTGCTGGAGCTAGGTGTGAATGTTTCAACTGACCACCTTCATTAGCATTTGAAGGTCTGGCTGAGCCTGGGACAATCTTTTGTTGAGAGGTGTTAAGATGTGCCTGGTTGTTTCCTTCTGCTGTTTTGCTGTTGTCATTTTAGAGTTTTTTAATACTGGTAGCCAGATTTTGTTCATTTTCATGGTTTCTTCCTTTCTGTTGAAATTGTCCACATGCTTGGATTTCAATGGCTTCTCTGTGTAGTCTGACATGGTGGTTGTTGGTGTGGTCCAGCATTTCTGTGTTCTCAAATAATATGCTGTGTCCAGGTTGGTTCATCAGGTGCTCTGCTATGGCTGACTTCTCTGGTTGGAGTAGTCTGCAGTGCCTTTCATGTTCCTTGATTCATGTTTTGGTGGTCCCTATGTAGACTTGTCCCCAGATGAAGTACTTTGGCCACATCATGAGAAGAAAGGAAAGCTTAGAGAAGACAAAGATGCTGGGGAAAATGGAGGGAAAAAGGAAGAGGGGCCCACCAAGGGCAAGATGGATGGATGGGATCCTTGAAGTGACTGGATTGATCTTGAAGGAGCTGGGGGTGGTGACGGCCGACAGGGAGCTCTGGCGTGGGCTGGTCCATGAAGTCACAAAGAGTCGTAAATGGCTGAACGAATGAACAACAAACTTCCAAGGATTTTGGTCTCTGTTGTTCCAAGGATGTGGTCCTAGATCGAAACCCCAGCAGATACCAAGGATCCACACATTCATTTCCTCTTCATTTTAAACCAAGGAAGCAGCAATTTAGGGCACTCTCAAGTTTTTGAAGAAGAGCAGCTTCCATCATCGTTAGCAAATGCAGTCAGGGGCGGCTCAACCCATTACGCAAAGTAAGCATTTGCAGTATAGTTGATTTTGCTCAGGGGCGCTCTTGAGGCACTCTTGGGGGAAAATAGACCTTGACATATGCGAGTTGTAGTTACTGGGATGTATAGTTCACCTACAATCAAAGAGCATTCTGAACTCCACCAATGATGGAATTGAACCAAATATGGCACACAGAACTCCCACAGTGAACAGAAAATATATATCAATGATTGGTTTGGGGGGGGGGGCAAAATACTGTTTGCTTACCGTTGAAAATTACCTAGGGCCGCCTCTGAATGCAGTCAATGCTCAGGGGGGCTACAAGACAATACCACGGAGAGGTTACAGAGTCTTTGGGCTGAACTCATGCACTTGGAGGCCACTTTTAACTACAACTACAACTCCCTTTGGCAGATACTCCACTTTGGCAGGAAAAACGAAATGCAGAGATACAGAATGGGGGATGCCTGGCTCGAGAGCAGTACGTGTGAAAAAGATCTTGGAGTCCTCGTGGACAACAAGTTAAACATGAGCCAACAATGTGATGTGGTGGCAAAAAAAGCCAATGGGATTTTGGCCTGCATCAATAGGAGCATAGTGTCTAGATCTAGGGAAGTAATGCTACCCCTCTATTCTGCTTTGGTTAGACCACACCTGGAATACTGTGTCCAATTCTGGGCACCACAATTTAAGAGAGATATTGACAAGCTGGAATGTGTCCAGAGGAGGGCGACTAGCTTTATTACTTGTACATGATAATATAATTCCCGTACAAGAAGAAAAAGAATTGGTTTCTAATTTGATAACAGCAGCTAAATTGTTAATAGCAAAAAATTGGAAGGAAAAAAAGAAATTCAATTAGAAGAATGGTATAGGGAAATTTGGAATATAGCGATTAATGATAAGCTAACTTGCAATATTAAAATTAAAAAGGGAATATGTAAACAAACAGACTTTTGGAAAATATGGGGAAAATTTATCGAGTATGTGTTTAATGAGGGAAAGGGGAATAAGCCAGCAAGAGAAACAATGATATTTTGGAATGGTGAAACAACATGAGTTGGTTGGTCCTGATGAAGGGGGCACAAACTAAGGGTAAGGGGAAGAGGGGGAAAAAAGGTATTAAAGAGAAACAACAGGAATGGACCATGGTCAATATCCAGAGTCCTCATCATTATGTTTCCAAAACAGAATAAGATTGAATGATGGGACATATCTAGAATTTGCATGTTGCATATATGTTACGATCATATTGTATTTGGAGAGTGAATGAGTGACTTGATTATAAGGATTGGTCAGATTCTAATTATTATTTTTGTTTTGTAAATTGAGAGAAGTCTGAATTGATTTATAGTTAGTTGGAATTTGTAGTAGTTATAGAGTATAGGAATAATTTAGTGATAAAGGTATGTTTACTTAATGTGTTTATGTTAAATTGAATAAATGCAATAAAATAATTAAATAATAATAATAATAATAATAATAATAATAATAATAATAAAGGGTCTGGAGAACAAGCCCTATGAGGAGCGGCTTAAGGAGCTGGGCATGTTTAGCCTGAAGAAGAGAAGGCTGAGAGGAGATATGATAGCCATGTATAAATATGTGAGAGGAAGCCACAGGGAAGGAGGGAGCAAGCTTGTTTTCTGCTTCCCTGGAGACTAGGACGCGGAACAATGGCTTCAAACTACAAGAGAGGAGATTCCATCTGAACATGAGGAAGAACTTCCTGACTGTGAGAGCCGTTCAGCAGTGGAACTCTCTGCCCCGGAGTGTGGTGGAGGCTCCTTTTTGGAAGCTTTTAAACAGAGGCTGGATGGCCATCTGTCAGGGGTGATTTGAATGCAATATTCCTGCTTCTTGGCAGGGGGTTGGACTGGATGGCCCATGAGGTCTCTTCCAACTCCTTGATTCTATGGTTCTATGATCCCTCGATTCCATGGCATCGAGCCAGGGCATACAGTGGGGCCAGATTGCATTCATTCATTCTCATTGGATTACGTCACTCACGGAGGCGGCCTATCACTTCCTTTCCCTCACTAGGAGGAAACAGAGCGCGCGGATTTCCAGCTCCCACCTCATCTCACACGCCGTTGGTGGATGCCGACAGAGTGACGTCGCAGGTGGCCAATCAGTGGCGTCATCCCCGTCACGTGCGCCGCTGCCGCCGCTCGCGCTCCTGCCTCGCCACGCCTCCTTTTTCATCCCCTCGTTGGCAACGGGAGCCTGGCAAAAGGTAAACAGGTGATGGGCTTGAATTTGGGGCTGGGGTGGAATTGTGAGGAGGCTGAAGGTTAATTTCTCCTCTCAGGTATTAGTATTATTATCATTATTTCGACAACTACAACTTCTCAGCGAGGCTCTTCAGGCGCCAGCTTTCCAGTGAGGTGCTGCTCTGTTTCCCACAAAGACTGCCATCTCCTGAGGTAAACTTGAAGAAAGTTGTTTTGAGTACTTGATTGACAGACTGTCCAGAATTACTGCTTTGTTATATTTGCTTTACTGTTTTTTAAAAATCACAATAAACAACACAAAATCTCATTGGAGAAAGGGAAAATGCTATTTTGATGTACATTTTAATTGGGAGCATGTGAAACGACCAGGCTCCTTCTATACTGCCATATAAAATCCAGATTTTCTGTTTTGAACTGGATTATATAAATCTACACTGCCATTACTTACTTTACTTACTTACTTACTTAGGCAATCCCTCATTTTTTTTAATCGTGTCAGGAGCGACTTGAGAAACTGCAAGTCGCTTCTGGTATGAGACAATTGGCCGTCTGCAAGGATGTTGCCCAGGGGATGCCCGGATGATATGATGTTTTTATCACCCTTGTGGGAGGCTTCTCTCATGTCCCTGCATGAGGAGCTGGAGCTGATAGAGAGAACTCATCCACCTCTCCCCGGATTCAAACCTGCGACCTGTCGGTCTTCAGTCCTGCCGGCACAGGGGTTTAACCCACTGCGCCACCGGGGGATCCATTGGAAGAAATGTATCCAATTGTCATCAGTATTCTTGTGGATCCGTTGGTGGCTGTTGAGCCCTTTTCTTGACCTGCATCTTCTCCCACAGTGAGGGCATTGGTTTCCAGGTGGAAGGCAGTCTCGGTCAGGGTTGGCTTGATGCACCTTCCTCTTGGCACGTTTCTCTCTTTCACCCTCCATTCGTGCCTCTTCAAATTCTGCAGCACTGCTGGTCACAGCTGACCTCCAGCTGGAGCGCTCAAGGGCCAGGGCTTCCCAGTTCTCAGTGTCTATGCCAGAGTTTTTAAGGTTGGCTTTGAGGCCATCTTTAAATCTCTTTTCCTGTCCACCAACATTCCGTTTTCCGTTCTTGAGTTCGGAGTAGAACAACTGCTTTGGGAGACGGTGGTCAGGCATCCGGACAATGTGGCTGGTCCAGCGGAGTGGATTTATTTATTTATTTATTTATTTATTTATCGTGTCATCAGCAACCATACCATTGTATTACATTTCTAACAGAACAAAACAAACAAACAGATAAAAAAACACAAATTTTGCAAACTTGGTAGTTGATTAAATGTCCTTTGACCAGTATCTGGCCACTTGGAGTGCCTCTGGTGTTGCTGCAAGAAGGTCCTCCATTGTGCATGTAGCAGGGCTCAGGTTGCATTGCAGCAGGTGGTCTGTGGTTTGCTCTTCTCCGCACTCACATGTCGTGGATTCACTTTGTAGCCCCATTTCTTAAGATTGGCTCTGCATCTCGTGGTGCCAGAGCGCAGTCTGTTCAGCGCCTTCCAAGTCACCCAGTCTTCTGTGTGCCCAGCGGGGAGTCTCTCATCTGGTATCACCCACGGATTGAGGTGCTGGGTTTGAGCCTGCCACTTTTGGACTCTCGCTTGCTGAGGTGTTCCAGCGAGTGTCTCTGTAGATCTAAGAAAACTATTTCTTGATTTAAGTCGTTGTCGTGCTGACTGATACCCAAACAGGGGATGAGCTGGAGATCACTGCTTTGGGAGACGGTGGTCGGGCATCCGGACAACGTGGCCGGTCCAGCGGAGTTGATGGTGGAGGACCATCGCTTCAATGCTGGTGGTCTTTGCTTCTTCCAGCACGCTGACGTTTGTCCGCTTGTCTTCCCAAGAGATTTGCAGGATTTTCCAGAGGCAGCGCTGATGGAATCGTTCCAGAAGTTGCATGTGACGTCTGTAGACAGTCCACGTTTCGTAGGCATATAGCAGGGTTGGGAGGACAATAGCTTTATAAACAAGCACCTTGGTATCACTACGGATGTCCCTGCCATATAATCGAGTTCAGAGCAGATAATCTGGATTTGAAATGTCAGTGTAGAATCTTATAATCCAATTCAAAGCAGATAATGTGGATTAACAGTGTGGACTACCGCCCCTATATGACTGTGTGGGTTCAGATAATCCAGTTCAAATCACATATTGTGGATTATCTGCCTTGATATTCTGGGTCATATGGCTGTGTAGAAGAGCCCTCAATCCCCTTCTGCACTACCATATAATCCAGATTATCAAAGCAGATAATCCACAGTATCTGCTTTCAACTGGATTATATAAAATCCACTGCCATATAATCTAGTTCAGAGCAGATAATCTGGATTTTAAATGTCAGTGTAGAAGGGGCATTTTATAATCCAGTTCAAAGCAGATAATGTGGATTATCTGCTATTTATTTATTTATTTATTGTGTCATCCCTCAGGGAGATAGGATAGTATATAAAGAAAGTTTTTTATTGGGTTGTTGTAGGTTTTTTCGGGCTATATGGCCATGTTCTAGGTCAGGAGTCCTCAAACTTTTTAAACAGAGGGCCAGGTCACAGTCCCTCAAACTGTTGGATGGTCGGATTATAATTGAAAAAAACATGAATGAATTCCTATGCACACTGCACATATCTTATTTGTAGTGCAAAAAACAGTTAAAATAATACAATAATTAAAATGAAGAACAATTTCAACAAAAATAAAATTATTAGTATTTCAATGGGAAGTGTGGGCCTACTTTTAGCTGATGAGAGGATTGTTGTTATTGTTGTGTGCTTTCAAGTCATTTCAGACTTAGGTTGACCCTAAACGAGGGCTGGGTAAATGACCTTGGAGGGCCACATCCAGCCCCCGGGCCTTAGTTTGAGGACCCCTGTTCTAGGGGCAGTCTCTCCTGACGTTTCACCTGCATCTATGGTAAGCATCTTCAGCCATAAATGCAGGCGAAACGTCAGGAGAGAATGCATCTAGAACATGGCCATATAGCCTGAAAAAACCTACAACAACCCAGTGATCCCAGCCATGAAAACCTTCAACAATACAAAGTTTATTATTATTATTATGGGAACCCCTGGTGGCACAGTGTGTTAAACCGCTGAGCTGTTGAACTTTTGTGATTTGTCTTTTTTAATATATTTGTTTTGATTTAACCATATTTTGGATTGTAAGTGTGACTGATATTATGTACATTGCTTCCTCTTGTTGTAAGCCGCCCCGAGTCCCCTTGGGGATATAAATAAAGCATTATTATTATTGTTGTTGTTGTTGTTGTTGTTGTTGTTATTATTACATCTAACCTAAAATTGATCATATTTGCAAGAATGTGATTTTTAAAGACAGATATCAAAAGGGAAATGTACCTGATATGTCTTGTATCAACAGTCTGTTCGATGAAGTATAACCTGGGTGACTTCAGCTTCACTCACTCACTCGCTTTCAGTACAACTTATCAATTCTATTTCAAGTTGAGAAAAATCTGATTCAGTACAACTAATTGAACATTATAGTTCACTAAAGCAGTGGTTCCCAAACTTTGGTCCTCCAGTGGTTTTGGACTCCAACTCTCAGAAGTTCGAGCTAGCTTCCCAGCTGTTAGGAATAGTGGGAGCTGGACCTGGAGGACCAAAGGTTGGGACCCACCACACTAAATAATTGGTTGCAGTACAACAGTCCAGAAAACTGTAGATTGGTGTATATTTTTCCATGGAAAGCTTTCTATTTTGGTTAAAATAGATACAGTATCTATTTTAATCCTCATAGATACCAAAAATTCATTGATGATCAGGGTCCATGTGGCATATTGTATAAATAGTAAAATCAAGTTTTGTTTGGTGGATTTTTTCATTTTTGGAATATTATCAAGCCATGCATGGTTGAATTGTGGATACAGAATCCCTGATATGGAGGGTTGAGTGCATAGCTAATCCCCACAATCCTGGCTAATTTCCAGACAGAATGTACTGTGGAGGTATTCTGTCTTTCTCTTGAATGTTTTTTCTGTAGTAAGGAAAAGCATGCAAGAAGCAGTGGAAGAATAAGGGAGGATTATGAGTGAAGAACATGAATGCACTTAAAGGCCTCATAAAAGTAGGTGAATGAGGCAAGGAAATGGTCTTGTAAAAGCCTTGTCTACAATTGCTCACTGACTTTTATTGTAGTTTTCAAAGAAGTAAGTGTGCTTGTCTCTCATAGCATAAAAAAAAAAGAACGAAGAAGGGGGAGGAAATATGTGACTGCACCTTTAATACTAATCAGTGGGCTTCATTTGATTTTAAATTTAATTGATTTTAAAGTGGAGATAACTGATTTTAGTGTTTATATCTATAGTTTATTGTATGTACTGGCATTGAATGTTTGCAGTATATGTTGTTATCCGCCCTGAGTCCCATTCCGAGTGAGAAGGGTGGAATATAAATGCGTTAAATAAATAAATAATAAATTAATTAACGTCTATGTTTCTCCAAATGAAATCGTTTGCTGTTTGTAATTCTTCTGTGTTTTCTGAATCGGTTTGACACAAAAAAAAAGTCTGCAAGAGAATTGGTGCCCAGTGTCTATTGCCTTGTGGCACCAATGGTGCATCGACAATGTAGAATTAATGCTGTTTGACACCATTAGTGGCATTAATTTTACAGTATAGAAACACCCTAAGACATGGATAGGCAAAAAATGGCTTATGGGATGTAGACAGTCCTGTGCTATAGATGACAGCTGCAGCCGCCATTGCAATGCTAACAGCAAATTTAATAGTCACTCACAAATTTCAGCACCAACTGCAGAGGCAAAACCAGGTTTGGAAGCATGGCCTCCTATCCACAGGAAGTTGCCTACCCATGTTTTCGGACCCTAGGTGTCTGAATTTACCTTCTAGTAAAATTTCACTTGAAACATTGATTGCAATAGTATGTTCAGTTAACATAGGCTGGATTTACACTGCCATATAATCCTGTTTCTGAAGTCAGATTATCTGCTTTGAACTGGATTATATGAGTCTACACTTGCATATAATCCAATTCAAAGCACATAATTTGGATTCAGAAACTGAATTATATGGCAGTATATATGGATCCTTTCTTACTGAATTCATTGGCATTTATTTTAAGGTAACAGTAATCTTGTAACACGGAAGGCCTTCTATCAATTTACCTCTTTATCAAATGGGAAATAAAGTTTAGCAATTTTTAAGATTATGACAGTTCTTCTTGTTTTCCCTGCTTCATCTTCAATAAAATGTTAGACATCTATTTTTCAGAGCCACTGTGGTATGGTTCAGCCATGGAAATCCATTGAGTGATCTTTGCCATGCTTTCTCAGCCTTAGGCCCCATATACACTGACCATTTAGGACCTTTCTACAGACATATAACCCAGAATATCGAGATAGATAATCCACAATATTTGCTTTGAACTGGATTATCTGAGTCCACACTGCCATACAATCCAGTTCAATATGAATTTTATATAGCTGTATGAAAGGGGCCTTAATGCAGTGTCAAATTGGTATTGAAGAAAGTAGTTTTGCTGTGCAGAAGAAATCCTGGAACTAGTTAGAGGCCCAGATAGTGATTATACAAACCACAGAATGCTGATGCTCATTGGGGTTTTAATAGGAGTTTGCTGCCTAGCTGTCCCAGTTTGAAACTAGCTGTGAACTGCATTAAATGGTGAGTGTAAATGGGTCCTTAGTAGAAGTCAATGGCAAGCCTCCTCTGAATAAATCCTGTGAAGAATATCCTAGGACAAGATTAGCATAAATTTGAGTTGACTTGCAAAAACTTAACAACTATAACTACTTTATATGTTACTTCTCTTAAGATATATGCAATATTTTTTAGAATTAATCTATATAAATAAAAATGTAACGTTAGTTTGTGGGATTAACATAACTCAAAAACCACTGGACGAATTGACACCGGATTTGGACACAATACACCCATCAGGCCAATGAGTGACCACCACTCATAAAAACAATGGAAAACACAGCAGAAGAGACTTTAAAAGCCAAAAAAGCAAAAAGATGCTACAATGCATGTGCAAAAATAACTCCCCCGGCAAACAAAACAGACAATAGCATATCCACACTCTCTTCCAGACTGCAGCTCTCAGCATCCCCTAGACCTGGAGTCCTCAAACTAAGACCCAGGGGCCAGATGCAGCCCTTCAAGGTCATTTACCCGGCCCTCACTCAGGGTCAAGCTAAGTCTGAAATGACTTGAAAACACATAACAACAACAACAATCCTATCTCATCTGACAAAAGCAGGCCCACATTTCCCATTGAAATACTAACAAGTTTATATTTGTTAACACTGTTTCTCATTTTAATTATTGTATTGTTTTTAAGTGTTTTTTACACTACAAATAAGATATGTGCAGTGTGCATAGGAATTCATGTTGGGTTTTTTTTTTCAAATTATAATCTGGCCCTCCAACAGTTTGGGGGACTGTGACCTGGCCCTCTGTTTAAAAAGTTTGTGGACCCCTGCCCTAGACTATGCCCTTTAGGAGGATGATCCAAATACACTGCTTCTAAGCTACAAGCTTTCTTCTCCTTGGATTCTCTTGAGAACAATCCTTGCATATTTCCTATTCCTGGACTGCAACTCCCAGCAATCCTCCAGATAGCTAGATTAGATTGAGATAGGTAGGTAGGTAAATAGATCGATCAGGAGGACTGCTGGGAGTTGCAGTCCAAGAATAGGTAGAGAAGGGAGAAAGAGGAATGGAAAGAAAAGGGGGGGGGGAGGGAAGAGGAAGAGAAGGAAAGAAGGAGAAAAGGAAAGAAAAAAAGGGAAAGAAGGAAAGAGGGAAGGAAGGAGAGAAAGAGGGAGGGAAGGTTGGCCACAGCAATGCATGGCGGGTACAGCTAGTGTATCTATATGTGATGGATCCTTCTATCTTACTTTTGTTATAATTCTCCTTTTAATATCTGACTGCATGTTTTTAGATCATAATATTATATATCACTAGTCATTAACTTAGTATGGTTTTAATTGAATATTATATCCCAGTGAGAAAAGAGAGATTTTGGATGAATGAATGAATGGTCTTGGGCTTCAGTGAGTGCTTATATCTTTGATCTTTTGTTGTTCATTCGTTCAGTCGTCTCCGACTCTTCGTGACCTCATGGACCACCCCACGCCAGAGCTCCCTGTCGGCCGTTACCACCCCCAGCTCCCTCAAGGTCAGTCCAGTCACTTCAAGGATGCCATCCATCCATCTTGCCCTTGGTCGGCCCCTCTTCCTTTTGCCTTCCACTTTCCCCAGCATCATTGTCTTCTCTAGGCTTTCCTGTCTCCTCATGATGTGGCCAAAGTACTTCAACTTTGTCTCTAGTATCTTTCCCTCCAGTGAGCAGTCGGGCTTTATTTCCTGGAGGATGGACTGGTTGGATCTTCTCGCAGTCCAAGGCACTCTCAGCACTTTCCTCCAACACCACAGCTCAAAAGCATCGATCTTCCTTCGCTCAGCCTTCCCTAAGGTCCAGCTCTCACATCCGTAGATGACTACAGGGAATACCATGGCTTTGACTAGGCGGATCTTTGTTGCCAGTCTGATGTCTCTACTCTTCACTATTTTATCGAGACTGGACATTGCTCTCCTCCCAAGAAGTAAGCGTCTTCTGATTTCCTGGCTACAGTCTGCATCTGCAGTAATCTTTGCACCTAGAAATACAAAGTCTGTCACGGCCTCCACGGTTTCTCCCTCTATTTTCCAGTTGTCCAATCATTCTTGTTGCCATAATCTTGGTTTTTTTGACGTTTAGCTGCAACCCGGCTTTTGCGCTTTCTTCTTTCACCTTGATTAGAAGGCTTCTCAGCTCCTCCTCGCTTTCGGCCATCAGAGTGGTGTCTTCTGCATATCTGAGGTTGTTAATGTTTCTTCCAGCAATTTTCACTCCAGCTTTGCATTCATCAAGTCCCGCACATCGCATGCTGTGTGAGCTAGGAGAAGAGAATGTAGAGGGTCGGAGCGTTAGGATTCGTTACACTTCGTAGATCTCGTTATCTGCCGGGGAGTGGAGGTTGTGTTGTTCGGCCGGATGCTGGGGGGCGTGCGCGGAGTGAAGGAGTTGTGCTCTCGGCGGTGGCGGGCCTATGGGGTGGGACGCTCGTAGTGGGTGCTGAACCTGAGGAGGCTGCCTATGGGTTTTGATCTTTACTTAAGGAAAAATAGCATGTCATACCATGAGTGATAATTTTTCACAAGTGTTTTCTCACTGGAAGTCCTAAAATGACTTCACTTTCTTTTTCCAGATTTAACCTTGCATACTGGAAGTTTTAAAGAGAAATCACCTAGTCATAGACGCAAATTAAAATGCCTGTTTTCAAACACCCGGAGTATCCTGAAGAGACCTTGGTTCAGTTGGAAAGCTTGGTACCTTGTCGAGAATCGCAGGTGTCCACCTTGCTCTCAATCTTTGGAGAGGTAACCCTTCCTTGTTTAACTTCTTTCTTCTGATTACACCGGCTAACAAACATTTTGGCGTCTCAAACATTAGACCTGTTTCTGGATATATTTGATCCACAGAATCCTAAAATGGCACCAGTTTTCCCCATCAGGTCTAGTTTTTGATATGCCATATACCCAGCTTTAGCTTCTTGTCCATAGAAAATTATGAAAACTATATCTAAGAAACTAGAGCTGATGCGGTCTGTCCAATGCAATTATCTGAATCAGCACCCCAAATAACCCCAGTTATAGGTCTAAAAACCAAGATACCTAGAAAACATTTGTTGGTCTGTGTTATCTTTTGATGTGTCTGGCTTTTAGTATACCTGGCCATGGAATCACACCATGGTCAATATTTCAGTACATCTCATCTCCTTTCTAAATGTGTGGTCATCTGTTCTTCGAAGGCAGAAGACTTCTGTAGCTTGTCTTGGGGGTCTTTACTAGATCCATCACAGAGACATCCCTGTTGTTTCTTTTCTCCATATTTTTTGTCCAGATGTCTTCAACCTGGCTTCTAGGATTTAAGCCATGTTTAGAACCTTTTGCAGTGTATAGGACTTCATGAGAAAAGTCTCTGGTAGCTAGACAGTGGCTTGCTGAAGGCTACTCCATTGATTTATGACACAGAGCAAATTTGAAATGGTAAATTCTTGACTTACGGCTCATTCTACATGCAAAAGACCTACTTAACACACAAATATTCCATAGTCTACATTAATCATTGGAATAATGTTGCATAATTAAGCAGATGTTGTGAAGGGGCTGCTGTGCTGTTCCCTTCACCTGTCGTATGTAATGAGACACTGCTATAGTGATTGATATAGGCTGTGGCATAGTCAGATGAGTTAGCTTTATTGGCATGCTTATGTAATTAAGCACAGCATCCGTGCAAGCCCTTGAGGAGAAAAACATGTCATCGTCTTCACAGTACAAAAATTTATGCCAGCAGCTTGCTGCTGTATTTAATTTTGCCAGGTAGACTTTTGAAGTTTAGTCTATTGATATATTTAAAATAAGTGCTAGAGGTACAGATTGTTTTAAATGAAAGCCTGATTTTTTTTCCAGCAGAGGAGTGGTTTTGTTTCTCCAAGTAAGATTTTTTTGTCTCTCAAGAATTAGTTGCTAACACCTGCATTCAGGAAGCATTGCAGAATTGATTGGTTTACTTGCATGTTTCATTTCAAGTTACTGAGTAGACAGAATTGGATTTTGTTATGAGCAAGATGCCATTATTTCTGTAAACCTGGCCTAATTTTTAAAATGTCTTTAAAAATATTAGGCAATAGAATATATGTGTGTGTGTGTGTATGTGTATGTGTATGTATATGTATGTGGGACTAGAATGTTATTGCAAGGCCATGTTGAATTGGTAACATTTTGTCTTTGACATTATATTGGCTTATTTTTCATTTGTGTTTTGCTTTTTCTCCTGATTGCATTAAAACATTGGGGGTGTTTTGTTTGCTTGATTTTTAGCTTTAAAAGTTAAAATGGCTGTTTCAGTTTGTGAAAATAGAAAAAATAAGTTGTTTATAAGTAGCTAAAGATTCGTATCACTGAATCTTGCAGGAAATATCTCACTGAAGTAGAACCTGTGGTAGGAGGCAGCTAGTATTAAATTATAAACTGCCAAGATGGTGACCCAGGAAAGCCATTGGAATACTTTGTCTGAAAAGCCTTCTGTCATAGAGCCTTAGGTTAGGTTTTTCAAACAGTCTTCTGTGGCCGGTTCTTGGTTTCAGTTCTGGCATCACACCATTTGTGCCTTTGAATCCTGTTCCCTTGCATTAGTTATGTTATAAAATGAAAGGGAAAGGTTGCTCTTGTGTATATAAGCTAATCTATTTTTTTACATACCTTCACTTTTTAGTTTTTTATCTAGCAAAAAAAGTTGATGAGTTACATTTCTGAAAATTGCTTAACTAGACTGTGCTCATTTTTTAAAACCCAATAAAACAGACATTATATATATGTATGTGTTATTCTTTTTATCTAGCGCCATCATTTTAGTTTTCCATCCCTTTTCATCTATGGACACACATCTAGTGGAAAGACTTACGTGATGCAGACTCTCCTAAAAACTTTGGAGGTAAGAATAATAATGGGTGTTTAGTATATATCAGAAGACACTGTTTTTTTAAAAAAGCCTTTGCATGCTAACAAGTTGCTGTGAGGACCTGCTTTTTAGTTTTGTTCCCAAAATATCCTGATGAGTGTTGATGATTCACTGTTTGATCTGATTAAAAATTCTCTTTGTCCTTATGAAAGGGGTTGATGTAAATGCAGCAAAGTAATGTTTTTTTCTGTGTCTGTCCTGTTCCTGAAAGTTTTTGGTGTCATGTATTATATTGTGAGGACAGAATTTGTCTGATCCAGATGTGAATCGGGTCTTTGCTCCTTCAGTTGCCTGCTGTGATGAAGCCTTAGTCTTTACCCTACTGTCTTAAATGGTTCGGGTCCTGCTTATCTTCACGACCATATCTCCCTCTATGAACCGGCGTGAGCACTAAGATCTGCTGGGGAGGCCCTTTTCTTGCTCCCACCTCTGTCACAAGCATGGTTAGTGGGGACGAGAAAGAGGGTCTTCTAGGTGGTAGCCCCCCACTCTGGAACTCTCTCCCTAGAGAGATTTGATTAGCCTCCACCCTGTCCGTCTTCCGGAAAGACTTGAAGACTTGGATGTTCCAATGTGCCTTTGAATCATGGTTTAGCTACTGATTAAGTCTGTCAAGTCCTAATCTTTTGGTTGGATCTCCAGTACTTTATTCCCAGTCCCGGCCTTACAGTTTTGCATTTGCACAATCCCTTGTCCTGCCCTATAGGTCACAAATCTGCACATGTCCACTTTTTTCAGCTTCTGGTTGTTTGATGTCTGGTTTATGTTCTATGATGTTTTACATTTTATTGGTTTTACTGTTTTAGTATATTTTACTGTTTTATGTTTTTAATTGTGTTATTCGTCACCTTTCTTTAAATTGTGCTTGGTACCCATGTAAGCTGCCCCGAGTCCCTTTGGGGAGATGGAGGCGGGATGTAAGAATAAAGTATTATTATTATTCATTATGTACAGAGCATTTTATTTATATAGATACTAGCTGTACTCGCCACGCGTTGCTGTGGCCAACCTTCCCTCTTTCTCTCCTTCTTTTCCTCCTTCCTTCACTCTCTCTTTCCTTCCTTCCTTCTCGTCTTTCCTCCTCTTCTTTCTTCTCTCTTCCCTTCTCTTCTCTTTCCTTCCTCCGCATTGAGTCGCCGCCTCAGGCTGATATATGCGGTATACAAATAGAGTAAATAAATTCTCCCTTTTTCCTTCTTCTCTCTTCCTCTCTCTCTTTCCTTCTTTCCTTCCCTCCCTCTTTCTCTACTTCTCCCCTTCCTTCGCTCCCTCTTTCCTTCCTTCTTTCCCTTTTTTCTTTCCTTCTCTCCTTCCTTCCTTCTCTAACTTTCCTTCCTTCTCCCTTTTTCTTTCCCTCCCTCTTTCTCTCCTTTCTTCCTTCTCTACTTCTTTCCTTCCTTCCTTCTCTCTTTGCTTCCATGCTTCCTTATCCCTTTCCTTCTTTCTTTCTTTCTTTCCCTCCCCTTTCTTTCTTTCTTTCTTTCTTTCTTTTTCTCCCCTTCCCTCCCTCTTTCTTCCCTTTTTTCTGTATTGTCATTTAGCTTTTCATCATTTAGCTTTTGGGGCTTTTTAAGTCCCTTCTGCTGTGTTTTTCAGTGTTTTTATGAGTGAAGGACATACATTGGGTTGTTAGGTGTCTTGTGTCCAAATTTGGTGTCAATTCCCCAGTGGTTTTTGAGTTCTGTTAATCCCACAAACGAACATTACATTTTTATTTATATAGATTATTGTGATCTGTAGTCTGTATTACAATTCAAGTTAGACAGCCTCAGTAGGTCACTGATTTTAGCTGATTTTTTGAATATGTCAGGAAATGTTTAGAGGGTTGATTTATTGCTCTTGTGCAAATATTGCAAATGAACTGAGAAGCTCAATGTAGTACAGTATCCTATACTAAAGCCCAGTCACTGGTCTTTAGCATATTTTTCATAGTACATTTTTAAATTCAGTGCTATCTTCCATTTTCCTGAACCACATGTAGCATATATTGAAAAAATAAATATTACTTCACATATATAGGAAACCAAATAATATTTTTGTTGTTAATAACTATTGCCATGTCAGCTTTGAGTTAAGGCAATCCTATAAATAAGAGATCCTTAAGTCACCCTGTCATCAACTGCCTTGCTCAGATCTTGCAGATTTTGGGACGTATCTTCCTTGAGTGAGCCTCATCTACACAGTCCACATATTCCAAAGTGGCTGAGAAGTCACTCTATGGCATTTACATGACATATGGGACCATCCTGTTCCCAATGTGATGCAAGCTGCTTAATGCAGTTTTGCCCACCAGTAGATGAAGTCATAGTGGAGCTCTCCATGCTTTGGTGTGTATGTGAACAGTTTAGAACCGGCCCCACTGTTCACACACTGTGGCACAGGGAAAACAGAATGGCACTTAGCTTGTCATATTTTCTTGCTGTAGCAGTGATCATGGAGGTTCAGAAAGCTCCTAGCCATCGCTTTGGGTCTTTGTTGATGCTAACAAAGGTGCCTGCATGGCTTGGAGAAGGGGAAGGGATTGCCCCTCCTTCTCTCCCTTACCTTTCAGAGTAATGTAGCACCTTTACCCAACATAGACAAATGTGCCAAGCAATAGATAGGACTTCTTTGATGCACAATAGCTGCTGCTGTATTACAGTGAGGAGTCTGCTTCTGCTGTTGACGAAGGTCAGGAGCAGAGTGGTAGACATCATGGCAGAATCCATCTATAATGTGGTTTTCCTTTTTGCTGCTTCTTTCTACCTTACCAAGTATTAGTGTCTTTTCTAGTGAGTCATATCTTCTCATGATATCGGTAAAGTGTGCCAGTCCATGCTTGATTTGCTCTGGTACCAATTTCTTTATTATTTACTAGTGGAATAAATGTATTTAGCTTCCAATTCCCATTAAATAGATTATCACTTCTGCCAGCTAGCTGTAACCAGACAGTGAATTTCTTTCAACCTAGCATAACAGTGGGCGTGTATACTTATTGTTTTGCAAATGGCCTGCTTTACAGGAAGGCTCATATTATTAATATAAGAAATGTGAATGTGTTTTCAACTCTACTGGTGCTGTTTTGAGCAAATATGTTAAATGGCATTAGTAGAAATAAGCTAGAATTAATTTTGTTCTCTCCCCCTCCCCTCCCTTTCTTAGCTACCTTATGTGTTTGTGAATTGTATTGAAAGTTTTACATCAAGACTGCTTCTAGAAGAAATTTTGCGACAGTTGCAATGTCTTTCCACTAAAGAAGAAGGTCCTCCTCTTGTATCCTGTGACACTTTCAGTGATTTCATACGTTTATTTAAGCAGACAACTATGATACCAGATCTGCAGAATCAAACTATATATGTTGTAAGTATGCTGACTCTTGGGTGAGCTGTTAACTGCTATAGTTATGTAGTACTTATATTATTTTTCCATGATTTTAAACCTATCAGTTTCTTGAGGTGACTATTTTATTTTAATATTGTTTTCATTACAAGAAGTGATATGTTTAAGAGAAAACCCTGGAAATGAGGGTGTAGTAAATATCACCTGTGACCCTATGAGAATGCAGGGAAATCTTGTTAACATTGCAAAATTATTCATGCAGAACTGCTGAGACAAAGTCATTACATAAATTAATATGAGTCTAAGTACTAATGCTGAAGTACTCCTTCTCGGTGTTGTGTTTTGCATTTTGAGGTGTTGTGGATTTTGTTTTCTGCATGCTCACGTTTGCATCATTTTATATAGCTTGAAGGATCACATTGTGTAAGAAGCTGTAGTGAATATAAGTTACAATTGACTTATATAATGTGAAACGGCCTATAATGTATGCTGTGTACTTACTAGATTACTTAATCTGTATACTTGTTTGTGCTCACCAGCAACCATCACCCAAGTCTTCTGGTTCACCCAGGGAGCCTAAAATGTTCAGGAATGAAATAGATCTTCAGAAATGCTATTTAATGTTATATGCCTCTAAGAAACACTTAAATTTCTTTCAATGATATTGATGGGCAGATAAGAAAATGATCACGTTATTTGTTAATCTTATTTGTTTGCAGGCATATAATCCATCCAAAGCTCATTATTTAAAAATGTATTGATTTCAATGGAAATGAACTCTTTTCTGTTGTTGAAATCAACCAAAAAAATATTTATCAGGCTTAGAAAAGCATACCCAGTTCTTCCTACATACCGTATATACTCGAGTATAAGCCGACCCGAATATAATCCAAGGCACCTAATTTTACCACAAAAAACTGAGAAAACAGATTGACTCAAGTATAAGCTGAGGGTGGGAAATGCAGCAGCTACTTGTAAATTGAAAAATAAAAATAGATACCAATTAAATTACATTAATTGAGGAATCAGTAGGTTATATATTTTGAATATTTACAAAAATGGTAATTTAAGATAAGACTGTCCAACTCTGATTAAATGATTATTTACCTTCTTCAGTGTTAATGTGCTTACATATCCTTCCAGTTATAATAAAGAGAGTAACATAATAAATGTAATAATAACAATAATAATAAAAAGAGTAAAATAATGTAGCAATAACAACAATTATACAGTAAAATAATAAATGTATAATAATAGAGTAAAATGATAAATGTAATAATAATACATAGATTAAAATAATAAATGTAATAAAAATATTAATAATAACAGAGTAAAATAATAAATAATCTTGACTCGAGTATAAGCCGAGGGGGACTTTTTCAGCCTAAAAAAAGGGCTGAAAAACTAGGCTTATACTCAAGCATATACAGTATTTCTATCTCCAAGTTAAGAATTTTTTTATATAAGGTTCTGCTAATTATGATTCCCTTAAGAATTTATGAAGAACACTGGCAGTGCAACTAAACATGTTTCCCTTTCCTGTTTTGTGGGTCAAATTCAAAGTTCTTAAGAAGATGCACAGAATCTTTACATCCAACAAATGGTTTTGAAGTAATGTAATCTTTTTTTCTACATTGTCTTATTTTCTCGCATGCCTATAATGCCATTTTGACTAGAAGCAAAGGAGAATAATGGATATATCCGTGCATTTATTTTAGCCAGTAGGAGGAACAGTCATAACCAGTAAGGAGATGATAGCTAGCAGATTTTCTAATTGTTATTGGAGCAGATTTTAGTGTAGATCAATATAAATGGAGTACCTTGAGATAGATAATCTGAATGAAGAAGTCTAGGTAAGTTAGAGGACAGCTTGTATTTTATGTCAAATTTTCTACATCTTGCAGTCTAGAGACAACATTTAATTGTTCTAAAAGCTGAATTAAGTAGTATGTTGGGATAAGGGAACAATAAAAAACCAAATGAGCAACATAATTCTATGTAGTCTTTGAAAAGCATATGGAGAAAGAAGACAATATAGCTTAAAATTCATTGTAATACTTCATAGAGAAAAAAGTTAATGTGAGATTAGATTGAATTCCTTTCAAGAAAAAGACACTTAAAATCTGAAGATAATTTTGAGCAACTTGTAATTTTAGGAGGTACAGTCTTACAGTGCTTCTGGTTCTTCTTGGATAGTCAATCTCAGAAACTAGTGTTCAGTGATATATATTCCACCATATGCCTTTGACATTTGTGGATACTGGGCCTGGGCCCCATTGTATCCATTGTCCTAGTTTCTAAAGCTCCTGGAAGAAGTTGTCCAGGAAGCCAATGAAGCCTTGAATATTTGCCTGGATGCTATACTGGAATGGTTGACAGAAAACAAGATGAAACGTAGTCCTGATAAGACAGAAGTTTTGAGAGCTGTGAAGTTAAGCTGGCTGACCTGGATGGAAGTTTAAATCTGGTTTTGTTTTGCACTGTGTTCCCTTCAGGTATACACATTGCAGCAACCTCTGGATCCTTCCACCTCAGGTTTATATACCAGCTATATTTGTGTTTAAAATAGCAATATGTGCTTTTGGTTACCCAGAATGGATTGCAGTAATGTACTTTGTGTGGGGCTACCTTTAAAGACTATTTGAGATGCTTATTTGATGAAAAATGAACCACCTGAATAGGAGCTGGAGGGTCAAACATATTAGCCATCAATGGGTTTGTGGACTGAGTATTGTTTTAATGACTGTTGTGATAATTTGGTTATAATTAATTGCTATTGTTTTAACTCTGTATGTATTTATGGTTTTATACTGTGTTATTGATTTGTGGCATCGAATTGCTGCCTTTGCGTTGTTATGTTTTAATTGCACTGACACTGTTTGATAATTGTACCATGTAAACCGCATTGAGTCGCCTGTTAAGGGCTGAAAAATGCAGTATAGAAATAAAGCAAATAAATAAATAAATAAATAAATTTGTTAGCCACTCTGAGTCCCTCACCCCCCCCCCGGGGGGGGGGGGGTTGAGAAGGTCAGGGTAAAAATGCTGTAAATAAATAAATAAATTTTGTACCAATTGTATTGAATACTAATGTTTCCAAGGCCAGAGTGTTGCTGTTAACTAAGAATGACAACCCATAGTTTTCCAGATGTTGTTGGGCTACAATTTACTATTGTCTGTAGGCAGCATAGACAAAAGGGAAGGACATAGAAGCAAAATCCTGAGTATTCTTTCTCTAAAAAGAAACCCCATGAAATTCATGGGGTCGTCAGAATTCAAAAGGCAACATGAAGGCACACATATAATTACTAAGAGGAAAAATGCCCAAAATTAAGAAAAGCTACACTGAAAGAACATATTTCATTCTTAAAAGGAATTAAGCCCCAATCAACTACAAGTTCCATAACTATAGAACCATAATAAGAGATTCTTCCTGTTACACTCACCAATCTACAACAACACTTTATTTATTTATGTACTGCTCTATCTCCCCCAAGGGGACTCAAAGTGGTTTCCAAGTAACATAATCAATACATACAAAGAAAACAGCATAAACATAAAATTAACAAGACAATATAAGCATTAAAAACCATAATAGCACATATATTTAAATGTACCATGCATATAAACAAGACTTCAAAACAGATTTTAAGTCACTCAGAGCTTCAAATTTTAACATCAAGGATAGGCAACATAGTCTACCAGCTTTTGCCAGCTTCTTCCTCTGATAATATAGCCAGTAACACCTGTGTTTGTTGGTGGTCTCCTATCCAGGCTGATCCTGCTTAGCTTCCAAAATAAGAAAGGATCTACTGCTTTCAGAGTAATATTCTGTTACATATTATTTCCATAAACATGTTAAATGTATCTCAGCAATCCTATTGATGGTAACTTGGTAATGTTCATATGGAAGATTAGTGCCTCCCTGTGGAAGTAATGCACATGGCTACAATGATTTGCCCAGTTGCAGCAGTGTGGTTGCAGTGTCCTTGTAACCAGTGCACATGTGGCATTCCAGATGTTTTGGTGTCCAACCACATTGCCTCAACCAGTATGAGGAAAATAAAAATTGTAATCAAACATCTGGAAAAGCCTGTATTCTATATCCCTGTTTTAGCTAACTACGTTTATAATAGGTACTATTCCTTGAGTATGTTCCCACAATCCTGAGAAATATGATTCCACCCAGGACTGTAGCCGGGGTAGGGGTTCAACCCTCCCCCCAGTTTTTTTAGGTTTAAAAAAACGTGGGTTACTCATGAATTTTAACTGGTTAACCAAATCCCCATGGTAAGTCTATGAGAAGCAAAACATTTAACAAGTCCCTCCATAACTTCAAGCACTATCTCAAGCAAATGTTGACAATTTATTTACGCTGTAATTCCTTGCAGCAATAGCCAATATAGGGAAAGCAACCAAGTTGGCCCACCCATAACTGGCAGGCAAAAACTAATGGGGCGGGATTTGAAGGCCCTCATGAAGGAGACCAGACTTGGTGGGGATGGTTGACAGGGATGGAGCTGCAGGCTATTTAAGGCTGCTCTGCCCCCCGCTGTGCTCTTTGCTTCAGCAGAGGTAGGAGGCAGGTTCCTAACGTGGAATTAGGTATTTCCCTCCTTCCTCCCTTCGCCTTTTCCAGATAGTAGGATTCCCATTGCTATACCTATATATAGGTCATTTTCAACTCTTAAATGTTTGAAAACATACGTAAGAAGCACAATAGGGCAAGAAAGGCTGACTGGACTTGCACTCTTGAGTGTCCACTGAAGTTTATCAATAGAGCCTGATTTCTGTCAGAGTGTGTTGACACAGTTTTCAAGTGTTTCCAACAGATGTTGTGGTATTCTTTTGTAATTATAAATTACCAATTAACAGTCATTTTCAGTTATTTAAAGACTTGAAACTTTGTAACTAAAATAGAAAATTGATTTAATTAAGCCTATATAAAATATAGAATGAACCATACTATTTAAATTATTTTGTGGTATGGAACTACTTTTCATGATTTGCTAAAAAAAAGTTTAGACCCCCCTCCCCCCACACACCATTTTTTTTCCCTGGCTATGGCCCTGATTCCACCCCATAGTTATGAATATGGCTAGATTCCAAGGGTAGACAGCCCGTGTGGTACATTCCCCATAGTATTATCTATTGTATATAATGGGGGTTGAACATTTATGGATTTTGATATTGATGAGGTGAGGGGTTATAAAATCAAACCCCAGCAAATATCAGGTGCCTCCCTTACTTACAGAGAAGAAATTGTGTTATTACTTCAAGTAGGTTATTTATTGAAAACCCTTATTGTAAAAAGATGGAGTCTTGTCCTGAAACTTCCACATGTCTAGTACCTGTAATGAGTGCTAAAGTGAAAAACCAAAAGTAATACCTATCTGAAGAATTTTTCTTTTATGCATTTGAACAATTTATGTCAAATAGTTTAAAAAGAGATTATGACCATGATAAAAGTTTCCGTTTAATCCTTTTTAATATAATATAAAATATGATGTGGGGTTTTTAAAGATTACTGCCTATTGTAGTGGAAAGCAATTTTTGAAATGTACATTAACTAATTAATTATTGTCATAATTCTTGAAGATTATTGAAAATAGATAATAAAGACCAGGGCAGGGCATTAAATACTGCAGAACATTAAATTGTATTGTGTTCATGGTAGCTAAATCATAAGAATTAAGTGTTAAGCATTTTACTCTGTGCTGCGTGAAAACATGGGAGAAATCAATTTGTGAATTAACCTGTGTCTTATGGATTTATTATGGGTTGGTTTAAATGGAGATGAATGGAACAAGAAGTGTTCTGGTAGCACAAGTTGGCACAACTAATTTGTTCTATTTTGTTTCATTGGTAAATAACGCAAGATATTTCAGCCTTAATTAATTCATGGAAAATTAGGATAAATGGATGGCCCCTTGCAGTGGCGTCTAAGTGCTTCTCTTAATCTTAGCCCAGGTACTGAGCAATCATGATTAATCATGAGCCTCAACATGATTCATTCTCCCCAGTGAAAGATTTTGCCAATAAAACTTTGCGTTTATGCCTGTATTGAGAACAATGTGTCCTTCATGTTTCTTCTTGTGCGGTTAGAATTGTAATGTGTACATTTCAACGTACAATGTGCTAACTTCCAAAGTTCTACCTAAAATAGCTCCATAGAAATCAGTGGGATTTATATTGTCACTACCTGTCCCCTGCCACACGTTGCTGTGGTCCAGTCTGGTGATCTGGAAAATAAAGTAATGAGAAAGTGTTGGTTTCTAATATATGTAATGTCTTTATGTTTTGGGTAAACAGTATTTCTTGCTGTTTCTTTGCCAGTGTTGATGTGGAGATTGTCTGGTTTGTCTACTCTGGAACATGCAACATATCATTGTCCTTCTTTAAGGGTCCCTTTCAAATCTATGATACTGCATCTGTCATATACATGTGTGTGTGTGTGTGTGTGTGTGTGTGAATGGCTGAGTGGCCCTTTGTCAAGAGGGCTTTGATTATGTTTTCTTGCCCTGGTGATGGGAGTTGGACTGGATGGCTTTAAGACAGCATTTCTCAACCTGGGAAGTCAAGACCCGGGGGGGGGGGTGTCACCAGGGGGGTGTCAGAATGGTCACCAAAGACCACCAGAAAACCCAGAGTTTTCTTTTGGACATGGGAGTTCTGTATGGGATGTTTGGCCCAATTCCATCATTGGTGGGGTTCAGAATGCTCTTTGATTGTAGGTGAACTATACATTCTAGTAACTACAACTCCCAAATGTCAAGGTCTATTTCCCCCAAACTCCATCTGTGTTCACATTTGGGCATATTGGTTATTCCTGTCAAGTTTGGTCCAGATCCATCATTGTTAGAGTCTACAGTGTTCTCTGGATGGAGGTGAACTACAATTCCAAAATTCAAGGTCAATGCCCACCAAACCCTTTCAGTATTTTCTGTTGGTCATGGGAGTTCTGTGTGCTAAATTTGGTTCAATTCCATTGTTGGTGGAGTTCAGAATGTTCTTTGATTATAGGTGAACTATAAATCCCAGCAACTACAACTCCCAAATGACAAAATCATAATTTTTTGAGTGATGGCCACTCCTTGTGTAGTGAGACATTTTGTTGCCAAATTTGGTGTGATTTCGTTCATTGGTACTTTGGTTTTTAAGGTACTCATTATGCGCAGAGCATTTTTATATACCGTATATACTCGAGTATAAGCCGACCGGAATATCAGCCGAGGCACCTTATTTTGCCACAAAAAACTGGGAAAACATACTGACTCAAGTATAAGCCGAGGGTGGGAAATGCAGCCACTACTGCTAAATTTCAAAATAAAAAATAGATACCAATAAAATTACATTAATTGAAGCATCAGGAGGTGAAATGCTTTTGAATATTTTCATAAAACTAATTTGAGATAAGACTACCCAACTCTGATTAAATCATTATTCTAACCTTCTTCAATGTAAATGTACTTACATATTCTTCCAATAATAATAAAGAGAGTAAAATAATAAATGTAATAATAATAATAAAGTAAAATAATGGAAATGGAATAAATGTAACAATATAGTAAAATAATAAATTTAATAATAGAATAAAATAATAAATGCAATAGTAAAGTAAAATAATAAATGTAATAATCATCATAAATAGTGTAAAATGATAAATGTAATAATAATAATAGGGTAAAATACTGTAAATGTAATAATAATAATAATAATCTATATATATAAATCTGTTAGGTTGGTTCAACCGGACAGCAAAACTCAAAAACCCCCCAACGAAACTTAACCAAAATTCCCATGCCCATAACACAACCCACAAGGTACAAACATATCTACTCAAAATGAAAAACAACACAACAACACACTCACAAAACGGCAAAAGAACAAAACTCAAAAAACACCCCAACGAAACTTAACCAAAATTCCCATGCCCATAACACAACCCACAAGGTACAAACATATCTACTCAAAATGAAAAACAACACAACAACACACTCACAAAACGGCAAAACAACAAAACTCACAACCCCCCAACGAAACTTAACCAAAATTCCCATGCCCATAACACAACCCACAAGGTACAAACATATCTACTCAAAATGAAAAACAACACAACAACACACTCACAAAACGGCAAAACAACAAAACTCACAACCCCCCCCAACGAAACTTAACCAAAATTCCCATGCCCGTAACACAACCCACAAGGTACAAACATATCTACTCAAAATGAAACACAACAACACACTCACAAAACGGCAAAACAACAAAACTCAAAAAAACCCCAACGAAACTTAACCAAAATTCCCATGCCCATAACACAACCCACAAGGTACAAACATATCTACTCAAAATGAAAAACAACACAACAACACAATCATAAAACGGCAAAACAACTGAGCATGCGCATTGGTGCCCAGCCGCAAGTTCCCTGGCGCGCGCACACAGCCTTCCGGCCAACGTTCCCTCTGCAGAAGCCATGCCCACTCCAAGCCCCGCCGCGCCGCTTCCCGCACACACACACCCCCTGCTGCACGCACACACACAACCCCACGCTCCATCACTCCCCCCGCCGCCGCACACACACACGCAACCCCACCCCATGCCCCACCCCCGCCGCCGCACACACACCCGCAACCCACCCCCCCCCGCCGCACCACACACACAACCCCCCGCTCCATCCCTCCCCCCGCCGCCGCACACACACACGCAACCCCACGCTCCATCCCTCCCCCCCCCGCCGCACACACACGCAACCCCACTCCCCCCGCCGCCGCAAACACACACGCAACCCCACGCTACATCACTCCCCCCCGCCGCCGCACACACACACGCAACCCCACGCTCCATCACTCCCCCCGCCGCACACACACGCAACCCCGCCCCATCACTCCCTAACAAACCCCCCCATTCCAACCCAAAATGCAACCCCCCCCCCCTCCCGCCGCCCCACACACACACGCAACCCCATACGCTCCATCACCCCCCCACCGCCACACACACACACAACCCACGCTCCATCACTCCCCCCGCCCGCCGCACACACACACGCAACCCCCCATCCCCCCCGCCGCCGCACACACACACGCAACCCCACGCTCCATCACTCCCCCCGCCGCCGCACACACACACACCCCACGCTCCATCACTCCCCTGCCCCAATCTTACCTCCTTTTACTTCACGCCACCTCCAAACCCCACCCCGCCCCTTCCCCCTGTCAAAATCCAGGAAAGACAGGAAGGAAGGAAAGAAGGAAGAAAGAGAAAGGGAGGTAAAGAAAAGGGGGAAGGAAGGAAAGTTAGAGAAAGAAGGAAGAAGAAAAGGAAAGAAAAGGAAAGATGGAAGGAAAGAAAAGAGAGACAGCAGAAGAGAAAGAAAAAGGGGGAAGGAAGGAAAGAGGTAGAGAAGGAAGAAATGAGAGACGGAGGGAAAGAAAAAGGGAAGGAAAAAAAAAGGAGAGAAGGAAAGAAAAAAGGGAATGAAGGAAGGAAAGAAGGAGTGAAGGAAGGGCGAAGATGTAGAGAAAGAGAGAGGGAAGGAAAGAAGGAAAGAGAGAAGGAAGAAAAGAGACCAGAAGAGAAAGAAAAAGGGGGAAGGAAGGAAGGAGAGAAGAAAAAAGGGAATGAAGGAAGGAAAGAGGGAGTGAAGGAAGGGGGAAGATGTAGAGAAAGAGGGAGGGAAGGAAAGAAGGAAAGAGAGAAGGAAGAAAAGAGACCAGAAGAGAAAGAAAAAGGGGGAAGGAAGGAAGGAGAGAAGGAAAGAAAAAAGGGAATGAAGGAAGGAAAGAGGGAGTGAAGGAAGGGGGAAGATGTAGAGAAAGAGGGAGGGAAAGAAGGAAAGAGAGAAGGAAGAAAAGAGACCAGAAGAGAAAGAAAAAGGGAAGGAAGGAAAGAGATAGAGAAGGAAGAGGAGAAGGAAGGAGGGAAGGAAGGAAGGAAGGAAGGAGGGAAAGAAGGAGAGAAAGTGGGAAGGTTGGCCACAGCAACACGTGGCGGGTAAAGGTTGTTATTTCTATTATTATTATTATGCTATTATTCCTATTAGACCCTGGGGGAATGGGAGAGGTGTCAGGTCCCAGAGGCAATGCATTGCATTATTGTTATTGTTATGATGGTGGTGAAATAAAAGGAAATAAAAAGAGAAAGAAGGAAGCAAACAGGGAGGGAAGAAAGGCAAAGGAAGAAAGGGGGAGGGAATGAAGGAAAGAGAGAAGGATGAAACCAAGTAGTGAAAGAAGGAAAGAAAGAAAGAGGTAGAGAAGGAAGAAAGTAGAGAAAGGGGGAGGAAAAGGGGGAAGGAATAGGTAGGGACCTCTCTTTCATAATAGTCCAGATATCTACCTCAACTTTGATAAGTTTTACTATAGGCCACAGCAACGCGTGGCAGGGCACAGCTAGTATAATATAATAACACAACAATAAAATAAAAATAAAATAATACTAATAATAATACCAATAACAGAGTAAAATAATAAATAATCTTGACTCGAGTATAAGCTGAGTGGAGCTTTTTCAGCCTAAAAAAAGGGCTGAAAAACTAGGCTTATACTCGAGTATATACAGTATATAGATTAACAAGTTTGGAATACAAGGAATACATAAATAAAAGAGTAGCCTACAACATTAAATGAAATTTCCAGTTGAGTGTTAGTTGACATAATAAAAGAAATTGTTTTTTAATATATGAATTAGATGGCTGTCGCATTATTAAAAGTTATTTAAGAAGAGCAAACAAACCCTAAAATTTTAACCACATAAAGGGCAGCCAAAATTTATTATTATTATTATTATTATTATTATTATTATTATTATTATTGTTGTTGTTGTTGTTGTCTTAAACAGAACCCTTGTTCAGTTGAAAAATCTATAGAGACTATGAATTGACTGATGCTGATTGACTGGAATATTTGTACTTTTTAACCAGTCATGAATTCCCTGGAAGAAAAACCCTGGGTGGCTCTGTTTGAACTAATCTTTTGCTAATTCTTGGTACTGACAAAACACGGAGGGATTATTAATGACTTATAAATTACTTTTGTGCAATAATGTTCCCATTCTTTTAAAGATTTTGGATAATGCAGAGCAGCTGAGGGAGTTGGAAGCAAACATCCTTCCGGGTTTCCTTAGATTACAAGAACTGGTAAGTAAATTGACTGAAATATCCTTTCCATATTTGAAACCCACTGGCAATGGCAAACTCTTTCTGAACAAATCTTGACAAGAAAACCCTGTGACAGGGTGGCTTTAGAGTCACCATACGTCAAAAACGATTTGAAGCATACAGCCACAACAACAGATGTACGTTAATCTTGGTAGGAGGCTGGAGCTGAGAAAGGTTGTGTCACTCGCTTTGGCACTTCCATGTGTTTTCTTTGCAATAATCTGATGAAACAGAGTGTGACAAATGTTAGACTTTGACTGCAGAGAAAAATGTGTTTTGGTTTGGATTGATGATCGCTTTAGCGGCAATTCAAATGGATTAGAGAAGCATATAACATGATTCGAATATCTTGCCAGTAGGTACAGGCCAAGGAGGATTGTCAAAAATAAACAAGACACCTCTGTTTCCTAAGAGGAGAATGATTAGAGATCGTCATACTACAAATCTCTTGCTGCTGCCTTGGGGAAAGAGGTCTTCGTTCTGTGATTCTGAATAAGAAACATAGGCAAAAGAGATTGAAAAATCTAATTGACTTAGAACCAGAGTTTTGGGTACACAAATAGATCACACTGGAGAATATAGAAGATAAGATTTTAAAATGTAAGCTGTTTACTTGTATAAATGGGGAATATATTTGCTGCTTTCATTGCTCTTCGTTGCTGGACTAGGAAAATGTCTTCAAATGCTTATAAGCAAGATTATTTTTATTTGTTCATTTAATTTGAATATTGCATTTGTAGGCTGCTTTTCTTTCATTGGGCACCATTTATTCTCACAACAGCCCTCTAAGATGCATCAGAATGGATGATTGGTCCAGGTTCACCCAGAATGATTCATTTTAATGTGGGCAATCTGAAGGTGTGGACCAGATTCTTAGGAAAGTCAGAATCATATGCATTTTAGACCCTTGTCCTTCCTGTTATACAGGGTGAGGCAGCATAACTTCTGTGCAGAAGTCATTGATACTATGTATGTGTTTAACTGTTAGAGTATATATTTGTGTTTATAACAGTAGCTAAAACTAGAATTATCTGGTTTGAATCCACAGTGAGCGTTGCCAAGGAGACCAGGCAGGCTAGCTCAGGAGAGTGAGAAGTGGGCAGAGCCAAGCAGAAAAAGTTATGTGCGTCTTTGGGAAAAGGGGCAGAGTGTGTGAGTGAGTGTGGAGGCTTGAAAGAGCCTGAGAGAGAGGTGTGTGTGAGCAGCTGGAGGTTTTTCAGTCTAGAAGGGCTGAAGAGAGAAACCAGGCCAGTTTCTTTAGTCAAGGAAGACTAAAGGAAGCTTGTTAAGATCCCTAGTCAAGGAAGGACTAGAGATCAGAGATTTGATCAAGGAAAGATCAAATTGGAAGGCTATTCATAGTAGGAAACATTGTTCACTAAAGAGCTTCACCTCAGTAAAAGTTAGCCACGAGCTGTGTTATTTGGAAGAGTGGACTGTATTACAAACCAAGTGATATTCGAAGTTCTATAAGTTATTCAACAGCCTGCAACCATACGCTTTGTACACAATAAACTTGTTATCTTTTGTTGAAGACCATCTCATCTCAATTAATCTGCGTCTGTAAAGCCAGATCTCATCGGTGGTACCTCAAATACCTCACGTTGGTGGCAGTTACCTTAATTTACAAGTAATAATTGGCCTCCTCTATAATATATTCTTATACACAATTGAGGCCTGAGATTAATTCCCTCCTTAATCATCCACACCTGTACAATTGGTTCGCGCATCACTTCACACTTCCTTTTTTAAAATGCACGCCATTCAGTCAGTTGAAGACGTAGCGGAGCGCTAGTGGTCTTGTTCGAGAGGTGGGAGTATAAAGTTTTGTCCTGACACAGTTCAGTAACCATCATGTGTTGGAACAGTGAGGTGCGTGCTTTTGCTGTTGAGGCCTACTTTTCGAGCGGATTTGGAGTGGCCGGCCCGCTCTCCAGATTTGGCCCCTTGTGATTTTTTTCTATGGGGTTTTTTGAAATCCCGAGTTTATGTGAACCGTCCAACATCCAGGAAGAAATTGCCAACATAACGTCTGCTATGCTGGCAAGAGTCATGACAAACGCCAGAAATCGGTTTACTCAGTATATGGAGAATGGGGGGTGTTACCTACCTAATTTGATCTTCAAAAGTACGTAAAACAAAACTTTAGGTATGCACCTACATTATAAAAAAATAAAATACAAATTTCTGATTCATACAATGGGTTTTATTAAGTTTTGAAAAAAGGAAGTTATGCTACCTCACTCTGTATTTATAAAACTAGCAGGAATTGATGAATAAAGGGGATGCCAGTGCCCTGCTTTCATCTAGGCAACATTTAATCTTTATAACTGCTTAGAGTCCTAGGTTTGAAAAATGGTGTGGAATTAATTAACTAATAGATGTTACCTGGAAAGTGCAGCTACTTCCTAAAGCAACCACTTCATGGTTACAGTCCTACTCCTCAGTATGTGGTAGAACTTACTCAAGCCCTGCCATAGTAATTTTCTGTGTCTCTCTTCTCTGACTGTCAATGGAATGATTCATAATGTTAAAACATAAGGTAAGTTCTGTGAGACATTTTAGTAGAAACATGAAAAACGGGAATTGTGACAGCTGTGCCTCTTAAGATAACTATTTGCTTGGTCTTGAGTTGCTTTTTTATTTTTTAGGTCTTGAGTTGCTTACATGTTGAGCTGAACAAATTATAGCCTACAAGTATGAACCTGATGTTCTGAATCATGGTTTAATTTTCCAGTAACATGCCCTAGAGATAGATTACTGTGCAACAACTTCTAGTGTGTCATAAAGAGTGACATCAGTTGTAGAGAAAACCTCATTTGGCTAAGCATATTAGGTTAATCTGTTCGCACAAATGTATGTCAGCCTTCCCTGCCTGCAATTCTGTTCTGAAAGGGAAGAAACTATGATTGCATAGGTTGAAAGTTTATAAATCCACATCTGTATTTTTGATATCAACTCTGATGACCAATGAGGTGACAGATGTTTCATCCAGTTTCAGAAAAAGGACAGAGTACAATCGACCAATGTTTGACCTTGTATTTCTTATCCCAACAAGCAATTGCTAGATCTATCAAACATGTATTTGTTTATTTACATTTATTTATTTACAATATTTCTATCCCGCCCATATCAACCCGAAGGCGACTCAGGGCGGCGAAGGCAACTCAAGGCGGCAAAGTCGACTCGTTTGTTGCCTTTGGCGACTTAGCAGCTGCGTTTGACTCAATTGATAGAAACCTTTTGTGGCATAAACTGGCTAACACCAATATGGTTAAGTGTCTACTGTTTTTAATCAAGATACTTTAACACCATGGCTAGAATAAGAGTTGGTATTTCTGTCTCATTAACTGACCCTCTTCATACTAATAGAGGAATAAACAAGGGTGCCCGCTGGCACAAGCACTCTTTAATCTATATTCAAATGACATAATACCTGCATTTTTGGGATCAGAATTTTCTCAGAGTCACCAAATTGAGTAATGTCGGGAATTTAAGTAGCTTGGAATCCATTTCATGGAAACACTATCCTGGAAACCCCATATAGAACCCCATATTCAAAACAATGGCTTTGAAATCTGTTGGAGCAATCCTCAGATTTTACAACAATGTAGGGGGTCACGTAGTTGTCCCAGACCTTAAAATATTCCAGAGTGAAGTTATAGCCCAGATTTTGTATGGTACTGCTGTCTGGAGATGGGATGAGTCTCAGCGAAATTGGAAGCCCTTCAGAATACATTTCTTAAGAAACCACTGAGACTCCCACTGGGCACTCCAGTAGCCTTGGTCCGGGCAGAGGTTAGTCTCCCCCCATTAGATCACGTGTTTGCTTCGCCGTATTTAATTATTGGAATAGTGTAAAAGATTCCTCAATTAAGGTTCTCTCCAAGGAATGTTTTGAACAGCTAGCAAAATACAAAGTCTCATAAATTTATTTGTTTGCGCTATATGTGAAAGCCCTATGGTCTTAGCATAAAATAAAACTTGACTTGATATCACAACATGGATTTAAGTATAGAAGCCAAGGTTCTTGACACTTGTCAGTGAGATTTATCTTAGTAAAGATTGGTTTGTCCTAAATGATCTGCTGCCCTGGAGACTAGGACTCGGGGTGAATGGGTTCAAATTACAGAAAAGGAGATTCTACCTTAACTTTAGGAAGGACTTTCCAACCATAAGAGCTGTTTAACAGTGGAACTCCTTGCTTCGTAGTGTGGTGGAAGCTTCTCCCTTGGAGGCTTTTAAACAGATGCTGGATGGCGCTTTGATTGTACTATACCTGCATGGCAAGGGGTTGGACTAGATGGCCCGTGTGGTCTGTTCTAACTATTTTATGATTCTGCTCAAAGCTCTAGGACAGTAGTTTCAAAAATACTATAAATATTCACTTCTTTATCTGCTTTCTTAGAAATTATTCCACTGAATTCAGTGCTTTTGAACAGATATGTACAGAATTGTTGTGCTAAAGCACAGAAACAATGTCAACATTATAAGTCTCAATACACAAAGAAGTAGAAAAGAACTTGGACACAATGTTTTCTCCTTAACAAGAAAGGTTGTCACACTAAAAACTATCAGCTGCTGTGAGATTTTTTTGCCCCTACATCAAGGCACAAAGACCAGCATTTTGGTGTTTCCAGCAGCAATAGTGCAGAAAATTTGGCAAAGCATTTTATTTTGTGCTAAAACCCCCACTTCTATGGAATGTGCAAATATTGTAAATATTTGAAAAAGTACAATAAATCACATAGTCTATTTTATTTAAGTATTTCACTCTTGTGTGTCAGAATGAAATGAATGAAGATTTACATACTTAAAAGAAAGTGGTATCAATTGAACATAGTGCATCTTATTAATGAGTTGAACAAACCCAGATTTGGAAAGCAGGAAATTGTTGTGGGTTTGTGCATGTTCTTCTTTTATTTTCTCTTGGTTTTCTGTAGCTTTCAGTGCCTGTACCTTGCCATTAAATGCACATTTGAACAAACTTTGACAAGGGCTTTATTTATTTCGTATCAAAAGCATTGCATAAATTAGTATAAAACTGATAAAAATAGAAGGTGTGCAGGTGGCTAAATATCTTTTGACCAAAAACGGGCAACAGCAATGGCATTGTCTGTAGCCTCCAACAATTCTTCCTCTGTGCATGAGGCAGGGCACAGTGGACAGGCATACAGATGCGGAGTTGTCTGTTCTGCTCCGCAGTCACACAAGGTGTGGGATTCTTTTAGGTAGTGCCATTTTGCCAGGTTGTCTTTTGATCTCCCACTCCACTTCTGAGTCTGTTCAGAGTCAAATTGCCCATTCTTGGTTTGCCTCTGGAGGAAGACCCTCGTGGGGGGGGGCACCCAATTGGGGTTTCCCGGTTTAGCTGCCCAGAGGGATATCCTTGCTGTTGCTGGGGGGACACCAAGAGGAGTGGTTGTTCTCATAGAGCCTTTCCTTGATTTGAGTCTACTGGGAGGAGGCTGGTAGCCATGTAGTGGACGGCTTTCACAGTGTTCAACTTTATTTCTCTCACATTTAACAGCAACTTTCTGTTGCATCGGGAGGGGGGGCATGCCAACTAGCTTGTAGAGTTTATCAACAGGTGTAGGTTTAAGACATCCTGTGATTATTCTGCATGTTTCATTCAATGCTATGTTTACCTGCTTTGCATGGGCAGACCTATGCCAAACAGGGCAGGCATACTCAGCAGTTGAGTAAGACAAGGCCAGGGCTGATGTTCTTACTAATTTTGGGTCTGCACCCCATGTGCTGCCAGTAAGTTTTCGCAGGATGTTATTGCGTGCAGCTACTTTGTGCTTGGTGTTCAAGCAGTGTTTCCTATATGCTAGTGTTCGATCTAAGGTGACACCGAGATATTTAGGATGGAAACAATGTTCAAGCTCTTGACCTTCCCAGGTGACTTTCAATTTCCTGTTGGCTTCACGGTTGCATAGGTGGAAAGTACACACTTGTGTCTTGGCAGGGTTAGGCCTCAGGTGGTTATCTTTGCAGTAGTGGAGACATCTTTCAAGGCATTAGTAACATTAATTAAAGTAACATTAGCCCTGACGAGCTAATCAGGGTTTGAACAATCTTCAAGCCATGGCTCTAGGGACAAGTCATTTCAAAAAGCATGAGATTTGTACTCAAAATAACCCCAGTACAGATATAATCTGTGGTTACAGAGAGGTTATAAATGACAGGTGCAAGTCCTGTTTTTCACACAAGAAAAGGCATGATTTGGCAATTGAGAATGTTATGTCTGAATTTTGTTCATATCCACATTTTTGATGAAGCAGCAATGTCTGTTTATCCCTTAACAATAGCCATCATTTAGTTTAAATGTTATGCTTTTAAAACCCTGCAATTGAAGCGTGACACTGTATAGCCATAATAAAAAGAAATACAAGAAATGCTAGAACTATTCTTTTAAATTGGCAGTTATATTTGTTACTTGATTAGCCAGTCTAAGGTCTTAAGATTATGCAACTAATTTGTTATAGAATGCTAAGTTAGGGAGATTTATTACAGTTAAAATGTAAGATTTTCTTTGATTGACATATAATTACAAGGGTATTTCCTCCTGTTTCACAACAATCTTCTTTTTTCCAGACGGACAGAAATGTGACTGTCGTCCTCCTTAGTGAAATTGTGTGGGAGCTTCTTCGTCCAAATACAGGATGCCTTGAACCATTACCTTTGTATTTTCCAGACTACAGCATAGGTAACATGCAGTATGTCCTTATGCTGTTATTGGGTATATCAGTGGTGATTAGCTATGATGCCTAAAGAAAATGCCTGTAACAGAAACAGTAAACTTGAGCTGCCCGTATGCTGTGAACAAACTGGATAAAGTCTGTCTCTTCCTCTTTTTGCTTGTGAGCTTCTGAAGGCGCCTAGTTGACAGAATAGAAGTAAAGATAAATTTAACCTAAAAAGGATTTAAAAAAAAAATCTTTATTAGATATTTTCATGATACATATGATTAAAAACAGGGAAATTTTAAAAAGAAAACAAAAAACCTAACTGAAACAGGAAAAAGGGCAGAAAGAAGAGAAAAAAGGAAAGGAAAGTGTGAAGCAGAGAGAAAGAAAAAAAAGTGAAATGTGTGTAAAAGTGGAAATTGTAAATTTTCGGTCTTGCTTCCGGGCTTCTTCGAGGTGGGTTCTTCCTTATCTCTCATGACATTCTTTCTAATTCTTCTTTTCTTCATTTCTCCCTTTCTTCTTTGTGTTCTCCTCATTGGTGTGTGGGGGATTTTTATTCAGTCTATCTTTTTGTCTTCTATATATATATATATATACCTATTTTTATATATATAACTGCATCTTTATTTGTTATTTATTGTTTTTGTCTTATATATTCCATTATCAGAATCCAATTGGTCTCTTTCTCTATTTTTCCTTTATATTTTTTTGTAATAAATAGGTTAGTCTGTCCATATTTATTATCTCCATATTTTTTTTGTTCCAATCATCCATTTTAGGTGTTTCATTTTTCTCCATGTTCTTGCATAACATAATCTAGCAGCAGTTGTCGATAAAAAGAGGAGTTTACCTATGTTATTTTCCATTTTTGATCTATTATCCCCAATAATAAAAATATTAAAAATAATAAAATAATAAAAATATTCCGGTTTAAGTGGAATATTAATTTTTAATATCTTTTGTAAATTTTCCTGTATTTCCTTCCAAAAACGTTTTGCTTGAATTTAATTTCTGCCTTTAGCAAGTCAGTAATTAACAGTTTTATTTTCTGTGTGCACACTTGTACCCTCCCCCACAACCTAAGGAACTGAAAACTCTTTGTGTGACAGAATCAATTTGGGGTTTAAGATCGTGGTTAAAACAATTCAGTTGGAGCAAGGGTTACTCTTATATCAATAAAACTAAAATGGTTGATTCTTCCATATGTGAACACCCTGTGGCCAGGATAGCTAAAGCAAAGGAACTATTGTCTGTGTTGTGAAGTTACTTGGACATTTTATTTCAAGAAGGCTATAAGTTAAAATGTTCAAATGTTAGCATTCTTTTTATCTACTTTTTCTAAGTATATGTATGTGACACAACTAGATTTTTACTACTATAGTTATCAATACTACATCGCAAAATTATAATTTTTACTTGTGGAACAGTGGGACAGTATGTAAAATACAGAGGTGGAGGGGCAGGCTTGGTAATACCTAAACTGTGTCCTAATTATAAATAATTGCCTCAATTTGTTTTGTCATAATATATTAGTTTAAGAATCCAATGAATACTGAGGCAATGGAGACCGCATCAAAATGTTCATGTCTCGACAGTCACATGGCAAAAAAGCACTGGATATATAAAACAATACATAAAGCAAGCTACTAAAATGTAAACTGAAGTTTTATATAGAATAGTAGTTACAATCGATGCAGCAGAAGGGAAGCTTATGATAGCAAAAAAGCAATGTCACAACAGGGCAGCTGGAAGTAATACATGTATATGTATTTTGGCTGGCATCCAAAAAAGCTACATGAGGTATGCATGTGGCTCTTTAGATTAAGGCTTAAATGAAATAGCTAATCACTCAACTATTTAATTAAACACTCAAGTCAAATAGGAAATGGTGACTGTGTTCTTATCCCAGAGTCTGTACCTGATATAAGAAAGAAACAGAAGAGAAACGCAGTTAGTGATGGAGTTGTGGATGAATTACAATTCCCAAATTGTAACCCACTGCGCCCCGGTGGCGCAGTGGGTTAAACCCCTGTGCCAGCAGGACTGAAGAACGACAGGCCGCAGGTTCGAATCCGGGAAGAGGCGGATGAGCTCCCTCTACCAGCTCCAGCTCCTCATGCGGGGACATGAGAGAAGCCTCCCACAAGGATGATAAAAATATCAAATCATCCGGGCGTCCCCTGGGCAATGTCCTTGCAGACGGCCAATTCTCTCACACCAGGAGTCACTCCTGACACTCTTAGCAATATGTTCTCAAATGCACTTTAATACTGATTTAGGATTGTTTACGCGCCCATATCTTCCTTTGAAAAACCTATCTTAGTTTACCTTACCTTGTTTCATGCCCATCATTTTAAAATTTTAATTACTACATTTGGCCCTGCCATAGGTTTTTAAATGCTGTATGTTATTGTTATTGTTTATTGCTCATTGTGTATATTTTCTTTTTGAGTTTTATTTCAACTGTTTGTATTGATTATTTGTTATCGCTTTTGTTTATTGATGTGCTGTGGACTTGACCTCATGTAAGCCGCACCAAGTCCCTTGGGGAGATGGGAGCGGGGTACAAATAAAGTTTAAAAAAATCAGATTGGGCCCACATTCCGCTTATTACCAGTGCTCTTTTACAAGGGCTGCACTGTCATAGTTGGACTGGCTGCTGAATTTTCCAAATCAAGTTAAAGGGGAGTGATTGCTCAGTTTTCCAATGCCAGTTTTGTGATTGCTCACATGTTAAGGTGCAAATGTGTCAAACTCTTCGTTTTGAGTTTTAAGGTGTAAATAATGTAGGGGGTCATTATTTTTATGTATTCATTTAAATAGGACATTTGCAAAAGATTCTGTCTCATGACCATCCTCCAGAATATTCTTTCGATTTTTATGCGGCATATATAAATATTCTACTTGGAGTCTTCTATCCTGTGTGCAGAGATCTGAAGGAGCTTCGACATCTGGTAAAAGACCTCTTTTTTGTAATAACTGTGATGCTCATTGTTTTGCTCATTGCTTTGGAATTCAACAAATGTTTTACAAAGGTTTATAATAGACATGGTACTAATTTTTAGCAATCAGATATCAGACCAGATTTAGGCATAATAAGTTGAACTTGAACATCTTTTTCTCTTTCTCATGACATATCATACACTACTTTTGAAGCTGTGTATCAAATCCTTGCTTTTGACAATCCAAAATGATACCAGAGAGATGGAATTAATGTAGAAAAAGTATGACCAAGGGCTACTTTAAATGTACCATATATACTCAAGTATAACCCGACCCGAATATAAACCGAGGCACCTTATTTTGCCACAAAAAACTGGGAAACGTATTGACTCAAGTATAAGCCAAGGGCGGGAAAGGCAGCCACTACTGGTAAATTTCCAAATAAAAATAGATACCAATAAAATTACATTAATTGAGGCATCAGGAGGTGAAATGTTTTTGAATATTTACATAAAACTGTAATTTGAGATAAGACTTCCCAACTCTGATTAAATCATTATTCTAACCTTCAATGTAAATGTACTTACATATCCTTCCAACAATAATAAAGAGAGTAAAATAATAAATGTAATAATAATAAAGTAAAATAATGGAAATGCAATAATAAATTTAATAATAGAGTAAAATAATAAATGCCATAATAAATGTAATAATAATCATAAATAGTGTAAAATAATAAATGTAATAATAATAATAATAATAATAGGGTAAAATACTGTAAATGCAATAATAATAAGGAGAGTAAAATAATACATGAAATAAAACTAATATACTACTAATAATAATACTAATAACAGAGTAAAATAATCAATAACCTTGACTCGAGTATAAGCCAAGGGGAGCTTTTTCAGCCTAAAAAGGGGGCTGAAAATTAGGCTTAAACTCAAGTATATACAGTATATTCTCAAAGGCTAAACAATAGGGGCAATGTTTATAATTTCTTTTTGCTTCTTCTGATTCCATGCCTTTCTAGTCCTTTGAAGCTTTTTCACAAGAAGAGGAATACTTTGTATGTTTTAAATTCTGGCTACTCACGCTGGGAAAGAAGAGATGGTATCCACTGTTCTGTTTCTCTGTGTCAGACAAAATTGTTTTCAATGTTCTCAGCTTGCTGCAAAAACCTTTTTATTCTTGCCATTTGCCCCTTTCTCATTTGATTTCTTATACTTGTAATTGTGAAGAGGCGATTCTTTAGAGTTAGAGAGCTGTGATGTGGCTTGTACAATGTTGTGATGTTTCAGTCCTTTCAGTTGTCAAGGAAATTGGAATTTTGGACATGAAATGATATTAAGTCTGGTTCTTACTGTTATCTTGTAGGCGGCACTGAATTTTTCCAAATATTGTGAGCCTGTGGTTCAAGGTGAAGGTAAGTGTTTTATGTTTATACAAACAGTATAGGAGCCTTTGGTGGCACAATGGGTTAAACCTTTGTGCCCGTAGGACTGAAGATTGACATGTCGGAGTTTCGAACGGGGATGAGCTCCCTCTGTCAGCTCCATGTGGGGACATGAGAGAAGCCTCCCACAAGGATGGTAAAACATCTGGGTGTTCCCTGGACATTGTCCTTGCAATCAGCTATTTTGCAATACTATCCTATTACTAACGGCAACTAGAATCTCATATGCAAAACACTGGAAAAAAGAAGAACCCCCAGAAGAAGAAGAATGACTGACAAAAATTCTTGACATAAGAAATATGGATAAACTGACACATTTACTATCAAAAAAGAAGGGCTCGCTGAAGGAAGAGACAGACTGGAAACAAGTGACAACATACCTAATGGAGAAAAAAAACTTGAAAACAATAATTTACTGAAGAGAAAACAACAGATAGTGCAAAAAAGAGGGAGAAAAGATAAGAACGAGACAAGAAAAGGAAAAAAAAGAGAAAGGAAAAGGGAAGAACCTCATAGAAGATACCGGGAGGTCAAGAACACTACACTTTTATATGCTTTGAACCTTTTACTTTCCCCTCTCCTCTGTCTTCCTCTCACTCTTTCTACCCCAAATCTATCTACCTATCTACATCCTCACCCACCACCCTTTAAACCCCCAGCTATTCCCTCCCTATCTCTATCCCTACCCATCTCTATTCTAATTCTTTACTATTTATCTAAATCTATTGATATTTTATCATAATTATATATTCTATTTTTAAACCAAATAAAGATTTTTTTAAAGTATGGTAAAACATCCGGGCGTCCCCTGGGCAACGTCCTTGCAGACAACCAATTTTCTCACACCAGAATCGACTTGCAGTTTCTCACAAAAAAAAAACCAAAGCAACAGTATGGGGCGTCCTAATACCTGGTCTGATTCACTGCACATTTCTTGTCAGTCTGGTGGAGATATAATATGGCCTGAATGCTAACTATGGTGTAAAAGTCAAAATTGATCATTGGGCTCATGCATCCTTCTTTTTTTCCTTTTCTACCTCTCCGCCTTTCAGTTTTGGATATTACGGGGGCTAGTTTCCCAAAGCACAGTTTTCAACTTCTGTTAAGTGGGTTGTAGTCCTGCCTTTATTTCTTCATGGCCATATAGTAACATAACTTCCCAGTCACCTATTCAGCATTCTGAATATCTTGTGGGCTTGTATTATGCAACAGTTAACTCTGGAGTGAATGTTACCATGGTAGATAGAGAACATGGCGGTAGGAAGCATGTGAGCCCATGGGCACTTCAGATCTCTTAACTAAGGGCGATGCTCAAACAGTGTTCGTGTTTTATCTGACCTTAAAGAAACATGAAGGAGGCATTTTAACAAGCTTTTCACCTAAAAGGATGTAGACGAGAGAGAAATAGCAAAGAATGTTCAAGTACATGGTATTTTTTCTTTATATCGAGCATTGGAATTATGTGGCTCTCAAGATGTTATTGAATTGCAAGTCCTATCCATCCTACATGGCATAAGCGGCGTTGAAGAATTCTGGCAGATTCACTCCACAACATCTGAAGGATTTCACAATTCCCCAATTTACTGTGTGACAAATATTGGCTCTATAAATCAGTAATATGAATAGGTTTTTTCGGACTATATTGCCATGTTCTAGAGACATTCTCTCCTGATGTTGCGCCTGCATCTATGGCAAGCATCCTCAGAGGTAGTGAGATCTGTTGGAACTAGGAAAATGGGTTTATATATCTGTGGAATGACCAGGGTGGGACATAGGACTCTTGTCTGTTGGAGCTAGGTGTGAATGTTTCAACTGACCACCTTGATTAGTATTTGATGGCCTGGCAGTTGTGTGGTGTGGCTTGTTAGTGCCTGGGGCAATCTTTTGTTGAGAGGTGATTAGATGTGCCTGATTGTTTCCTCTCTGTTGTTTTGCAGTTGTAATTTTAGAGTTTTTAAATATTGGTAGCCAGATTTTGTTCATTTTCATTGTTTCCTCCTTTCTGTTGAAATTGTCCACATGCTTGTGGATTTCAATGGCTTTTCCTCTGTGTAGTCTGACATGGTGGTTGTGAGAGTGATCCAGCATTTCTGTGTTCTCAAATAATACGCTGTGTCCAGGTTGGTTCATCAGGTGCTCTGCTATGGCCGACTTCTCTGGTTGAAGTAGTCTACAGTGCCTTTCATGTTCCTTGATTCGTGTTTGGGCGCTGCATTTGGTCGTCCCTAACAAATAACTTTTTTTTTGGTCGTGTCAGGAGCAACTTGAGAAACTGCAAGTTGCTTCTGGTGTGAGAGAATTGGCTGTCTGCAAGGACATTGCCCAGGGGACACCCGGATGATTTGATGTTTTTATCATCCTTGTGGGAGGCTTCTCTCATGTCCCCGTATGAGGAGCTGGAGCTGATAGAGGGAACTCATCCACCTTTTCCCGGATTCGAACCTGCGACCTGTCAGTCTTCAGTCCTGCCAGCACAGGAGTTTAACCCACTGCGCCACCGGGGGCTCCACCAAACAACTGCCAGGCCATCAAATGCTAATCAAGGTGGTCAGTTGAAACATTCACACCTAGCTCCAGCAGACAAGAATCCCTTGTCCCACCCTGGCCATTCCACAGATATATAAATCCATTTTCCTAGTTCCAACAGACCTCACTACCTCTGAGGATGCTTGCCATAGATGCAGCAAAACGTCAGGAGAGAATGCCTCTAGAACATGGCCATATAGCCTGAAAAAAACCCTACAACAACCCAGTGATTCTGGCGATGAAAGCCTTCAACAGTAATATGAATATCTTCAGTTCCACAATTGCAAAAGAAATATTGTGCTGCCTCTTCTATTGTATTTCTTACTTTGTATACCACCCACCCCACCTCACCAGTTACATAATTCAAGCACTGCATCTTGAATTAATACTCCTTTTCTGTGTGTGCATGTGCAGCAAATGAACGTGATACACGTCGACTGTGGAAAAATATTGAATCTCACTTGAAGAAGGCTATGCAGACTGTTTATCTGCGGGAAATATCAAGGTAATTGTTCTTTTCTTTTTATTTTATGAAAGCTGTCTTTCAAGACATATAAACTGTCAAGTATGTGTGGCTGATTGTATTCTTTATTGCCAAAAAGAATGTCACGGCTCATAAAAATCTATTTCATTCTAGTAATAGTTTATTGGTACTAATCAATGAAAATGTGCAGAATGTAACTCTTGTAGTGTCAGGATGCAGGTGGGGGATAGTTTACTTGGTTTTAATCACACATACACTTCATAGAACAATTATAATCTCCATATCCCATGTATTGAAAGGTAACACAGATGCATCCATCTTTTGAAATTTGAGTTTATAATTCTCCTTACTTTTATGTGTGACATATACATCTCCTTTAAAAAGCTACCTTACCTTTTAGCTCCCAGTGGGAACGATTGCAGCAAGATGACGGAGAACCTGGACATCTAAAAGGTATGCATGCAGCAGTTCTGAAGTGTCAATAACTGAAGATAAAATATATCTGGAGTTTAGAACAATTCAATCGCTCTAAATTCTAGGAATTTTTTGGTGGATGCTCCTAGACTGTGGAACTCCCTCCCAAGAGAGACCAGGATGGCTCCATCCCTGCTGACTTTTTGCCAGCAGGTCAAGACCTTCGTTTCCCAGCAGGCATTTGGAGAAGGATAATGGGCACAATGCTTGGGAGGTTGTGCGGGAGATTTTTAGGGAGATTGCGTTTATTAGAATGCATTTTAATTGTATTTATTATATTTTAACTGTTTTTAACATGACATACACAGTACTATTTAATTGTTTTTATTATTTTTGTATTCACTTTGTTTTAAATTGATTGAAGTGTGTTAGCTGCCTTGAGTCCCTTTGGGGAATTAGGTGGGGTATAACTAAAATAAATAACAATCTATATAAATAAAAATGTAATGTTCGTTTGTGTGATTAACATAACTCAAAAACCACTGTACAATTTGACACCAAATTTGGACACAATACATCTATCAGGCCAACAAGTAACTATCACTCATAAAAACAGAGCAGAAGAGACTTAAAAAGCCAAAAAATAAAAAATATAATACAACGCATGCGAAAACCACACACAAACACACATATATACACAAATATATACACAGACTGGACCACAGCATCGTGTGGCAGGGGATGGCTAGTAATATAATAATTGTTTGGTAAGCTAAACGGTTCGGGCCCTGCCTATCTCTGCAATCGCATCTCCTTCTATGAACCGGTGCGAGCTCTAAGATCTTCTGGGGAGGTCCTCCTCTCAGTCCCACTACAACCGTGGGGGGGGGGGGCAGAGAGAGGACCTTCTCAGTGGTGGCCCCCTGTCTCAGGAACTCCCTTCCAAGGGAAATAAGACAGGCCCCATCCCTCCCCTCCTTTCGTAAGAGCTTGAAGACCTGGTGGTTTCAACAAGCCTTTGAAAATGACCAGTTCTAACGCAGCCCTACACATTGTCAAATACAGCCTTATTCTTCCTACCAGTTATCCAGATTCTTTCCTCTAATTGGCCCCAGAATGAACAGCCACAGATGTGTACCTAATATTATTGTTGCCTGCCATAACATTGCACTTAATTCCCGGGCCCCCTAGAATTTTTGGGCTTGCACAAATTATGGCCCGGCCTTTTAAATTTTTACTTTTTTACTTTTAATATATGTGTGTTATGCCGACAATTTTTATGCTTATATTTTGTTTGTTAATCTTATGGCCATGTTGTTTTTACTCTGTATGTTTTGTGATATTACTTGGGAAGTGCTCTGAGTCCCTTCGGGGAGATGGAGCGGTATATAAAGTATTATTATTATTATTATTATTATTATTATTATTAGCATTTCCAAATACGCCAACAATTTAAAGAAATGGAACAGGCAGGTTCTTTACCCTTTCAAATGGAGAGAAAAGCAGTATTTTAAGTTTTGTCAGATTCAAAATTGCTTTTTTGTTTTGTCCCCCGTCCCCCCCTCCCCCAGGACTTTCAGCCCATGCTCATGTCGAGCTTCCATATTACTCCAGGTTCCTTCTAATATCTGCATACCTTGCTTCTTATAACCCTGCCAGGACAGATAAGAGGTTCTTTGTTAAGGTAATTATGTTTTTTCCTCTTTGCCATAATCTATCCAAAACCACAGAAATTTCACTATTTTCATTTAATTTTAAATTACATTGATAATTTATATTGTTAAAAGGTGGTTCATAACATTTAATGCATTTTAATTATTTGTCTGAAGAGTATTCAGAAATCAAATCAGTATCAAAAAACATGCTATTTTAAAAATGGATGTTATTATGAATGTAGTGTATGCTCTAGGGATGAGGTAGTTGCTTGGCTTAGGCTACTATCATAATCAACACTGCAAGAAAATAATAATACTAACAACAACTTAAATATAAATTTGCGATACAGCATAAAAGATGACTGTTCAAAGTAAAATACAGGCTTTTGGTAAGTTTTAGTTTTTGGTGTTGACATATACTGGTAAAAATGCTGGGTATGTTCTTGTCTGTATATTTCGTTCTGGACTGGCTCTTCATGAGGAAGAAAGCTGATTCCAGACAAAGCCAAATTTGTCACAAGAGTGCTGATTATTATTAATGACGTAAAGGCTAATCGATGAGGAGCAAAACTGTTACATTGTATTGAAATAATTATAGTTCAAGTATCTTAATTGTATTACTTTCAAATAGTTTAAAACAATTTAAAACAGAATAATTTCAACAGACTAAAAACATGTTAAACAATGTGACAAACCAAAACAAGGCAATTTAAAACCAATTAATACAAATGAATAAAATTTAAAACAAAGACATATTTGGATGAAATGAGTTATACCCCAAAGGGTTTAATGATAGTAATGTTTTACTTGATGTTGGGATCACGTTAGTAATGGTACTAGTCAGGCTTGTTAAGGTTAGAAACTGCATTATATGGTAAGTGTAGACTAAAATAATGCATGTGCTGGTACGGCTGTACCAGGAGCTCCAACTTTATTTTCTTTCTGTTATCTGTTTTGCAGTCATAGGACAGGCCTCCTGTCCATCATAATTAAGCTTTGGTTCCGCCCCTTGTTCTGGGCTCTGGGAGGGAAAGGAGCCATTTTTTGGGCAGTCTCACACAAGGTAGCTAAGCTATAGGACGTAGACCAGCTCGTCCCGTAGAAAAGCTTCCTTTCTCAAGAGCATCCGGGGGAATTAACCATCCAGGGAAAAAGAACCATCCGGGAATACAGAAGCTGAAATTCCAGGAGAAAGGTCCCAAAAGCTCTGGCTGAGAGCTCACAGCCTCTCAGCCTCACAGCATCAGAGGGAACAGCCCTGAAGTTTCTAAGAATTCTCGAAGGGAGAACAGCATTACAGATCCACGGAACTCCAGCTGAAATATCTTCAGGCCTTGGCTGGTAGTTCTACTTGATACCCAGACGCACTTGGAATCGATAGTAGATCCCACACCAATGAGGCATAGATAGAAAGCAGCCTGGGAGAGGTTAAAAAGGGTTTTTCCTACAGAGAAAGTTTAGTTAATCAAAGTCAGGTACCAGTCCTTTGAGGACTAGACTAAGAAAGCCTTGAAGTGTTGTTTGAACCATTGAAGATTTGTTGTTTGTTCCATAATAAAGACTTTGTTGCATCATCAAAGACTCTAAAGACCATCACTTCAGAAAAATCCCTGAGAACCTCTTTTTGAGGCGCCCCTGGCTTCCCGCTGGACTTAAAGTATACATCCTATAGAAAGGTACAGCTGTTACAGGCCCAGCACCCGACAGAACAATGCAATTCAATGTAAATAAAGCACATTATATATCAGTGTAATATGACAGTGTAGATGGGGCCTCGGCGGGAGGCAAAGGCAAAACCCCAACTGAACAAATCTTACCAAGTAAAAACCATGCTAAAGCTGCCTTAGGGTTACAATAAATTGGAAATGTCTTGAAGGTGTAAAGCAACAATAATGTAAATCCATACAAATTCAATTGTTTAATTTTGTGAAATGAGGGAACTTCTACAATATCCCTGACCGATATGTTAATGTAAAACTCCTCATTCCATTTTCTATAGTTTTTCAGTTTTCATAATACAAAACCCCACAAGGTTTTTGATAAAACTATTGATTAAAGTCTGAAGGAATACTCCCCTCTTGAGTGGTGGGATGCTACTTGTTGCCTGGCAACCCTTCCACGTAATTCCCCCTGCCTCCGAGCCATCAGTTGCTATTGTGGGTGTTTTCCCCTCTGTAACTGAACACATTTTCCCTTTTATCTGGGCTTTATTAGGAAGCAAGAAAAGGCTGACAGCAGTTTTAAAAGAAGAGCAGTAGATACTGCATCTTGTCAGTAGATCAAAAATGATGTTATTTCCCTCAAAATCTTTTTTGCCTTTTCTTGGCAGTAGGAAGAAAGGGAATTCTGCATATTGTTAAAACTGGAAATGATTTTTCTGAAACAGCTGTGGATAATTATTGATATGATGTACAATTGCTTTTTTACTATTTTAAATTTTTTATACATAGTGATATATCATTCACAGCCATACCTATTATTGATATAATATAGGTATACCAAATGGGGTCCTGAATTTCAGGTATATTATTGTTCAACCTGGAAGTCTATATATCAATAATCAGTGGTGAAAACGTATTCTAGGGCATAGTAGTTATACGTCATACTCCCAATTGTGAAATGTTCAGTAATATTTTCAACATACAGTTGTGTATTATTGTGAGTTGGCTATTTCACAACTACTTATTTTCATTTGTAGCATCATGGAAAAATTAGGAAGATGAACTTTCAAAAGAAACATGAAAAGGTATTCCATTTTCTTTCTTTGAAAACATGTGTATTCATGTGCAAATGCATGCATATTCTTTTCTCTCATATTTGGGGTAGTTTTGAAAAAAATTATATTTATGGAAATTATATCAAACAAATTCTCTTGAAGGTATGCAGGTTGAAACAAGAACCATACTTTTGCAAAACAACAAGGAGCTTAAAGAGTTTGCAAGCAACAGAGTAAGATAAGAAATCAAATTTCCAACATGAGAGAAATGCAAAAAAAATTGAAGCTGAGGATTATTAAAACACAGTAAAAACAAAGGAATTAAAATATGTGGAAAAACTGGCAGGTGTTGCTTTACATTATATATTGCTATTTTTAACATTTGCATATTTTATATATTTGGAAAACATTGGTTTTGCTTCTGTAATTAAGCTAAAAAAAATCTGTTATATCCAAAAATGATTAAAATAGAAAATATGTAAGATTTACTCTCCCCTATAGTCCTGGAAGAAGTAAATGAAAAAGAAAATGAGATTTAGATTAGAGAAATTTCTGGACAGGTATTTTGCAATCAATAAGTCGTTCCAGTGTATTAGAGAATATATATGTGTGTGTGAGAGTGTGTGTGTGTGTGTGTATATAAATACACACACACATATATATATACACACACACACACACACACACAGACCCCTGTAAACCAGCATTTCGCAACCTGGAGGGGTAGCAAGGGGGCTTCAGAAGGGTCTCCAAAGACCATCAGAAAACATACATTTCTGATGATCTTAGGAACCCCTTTGGCAGAGAAAGCTGAAGATCTCTCCGCCTGGCCTTCTCTTCCTTTTTGGAAACGAATCTGCCCACCAAAAGCCCTCCATTGCTGTGATTGGCTGGCCTCTCAGCCAAGGGGAGAGCTGTTTCTGAGCCTCCAAGTGGAGAGGGGAGAGCAGTCATGCTTGGTGCATGGTAGTGTGGTGCAAGTATGTGGGCAAGGGAGAGTGTATGAGGCTGGAGGGAGGCTCCTTCACGGCATAGGGGTTCTGTGTGGGAAACTGGGCCAAATTCTATTGTTGGTGGGGTTCAGAATGCTCTTTGATTGTAGGTGAACTATAAATCCCAGCAACTACAACTCCCAAATCTCAAGGTTTATTTTCCCCAAACTCTACCAGTGTTCACATCTGGGCGTATCAGGTATTTATGCCAAATTTGGTCCAGTGAGTGAAAACACATCCTGCATATCAGATATTTTCATTACAATTCATAACAGTAGCAAAATTACAGTTACGCAGTAGCAACAAAAATAATTTTATGGTTGGGGGTTGCCACAACATGAGGAATTGTATTAAGGGGTTTCAGCATTGGGAAGGTTGAGAAACACTGCTGTAAACCAGGTGGCTTGGATAATATTAGTAGTTCCAAGTAGAGAAAAACCCATGTAGTCAAACACTGGTTCTACCTTTCTTCCAAATCTTTGGCAGAATATTAAGAGGATTTTATGCCTACTTCAGGTGTGTGGTAGTCTAAAAGTTAATGAAAAAAAATTGAAACATGAATCTATACTTTATAGATGACAAGAGAAATATTCAGTGACATGGAATATTTAGCTGGGCGAGAATGTTCTGCGGCAAAAAAAAAGTGTCTCCTAATAATTTCTGAAGTCCTCTCTTTCTGAAAAAAATGCATATTTAATGTATTGTCGAAGGCTTTCATGGCTGGAATCACTGGGTTGTTGTAGGTTTTTTCGGGCTATATGCCCATGTTCAAGAATGCCTCTAGAACAGTGTTTCTCAACCTTTCTAATGCCGTGACCCCTTCATACAGTTCCTCTTGTTGTGGTGACCCCCAATCATAAAATTACTTTTGTTGCTACTTCACAACTGTAATTTTGTTACTGTTATGAATCGTAATGTAAATATCTGATATGCAGGATGTATTTTCACTCACTGGATCAAATTTGGCACAAATACCCGATACACCCAAATTTGAATACTGGTGAGGTTGGGGGGATTGATTTTGTCATTTGAGAGTTGTAGTTGCTGGGATTTATAGTTTACCTACAATCAAAGAGCACTCTGAACTCCACTGACGATAGAGTTGAACCAAACTTGGCACACAGAACTCCCATGACCAACAGAAAATACTGGAAGGGTTTGGTGGGCTTTGACCTTGAGTTTTAGAGTTGTAGTTCACCTTTATCCAGAGAGCACTGTGGACTCAAACAATGATTGATCTGGACCAAACTTCGCACAAATACTTAATATGCCCAAATGCGAACACTGGTGGAGTTTGGGGGGAAATAGACCTTGACATTTGAGAGTTGTAATGGCTGGGATTTATAATTCACCTACAATCAAAGAGCATTCTGAACCTCACAAATGAAGAGTATTCTGAAACCCACCATTCGGAACCCCACACAGAACTCACATGACCAACAGAAAACACTGTGTTTTCTGATGGTCCTTGGTGACCCCTCTTACACCCCCTCATGACCCCCCAAGGGGTCCCGACCCCCAGGTTGAGAAATGCTGCTCTAGAACATGGCCATATAGCCCGAAAAAACCTACAACAACCCAATGCACATTTAACTTTAGTTAAGTCTCTTTAATAAAAAAAATTAGTCATTTTCATATTGAAAGAGAATGATGTGTGCTATATACTACATTGTCTCTTCTTCTGCTGAAATACTGTTTGTGATATACTTGTTTTTCCATTCCTCCATTTTTTTGGTTGAAAACTGTTTGTACTTTAAAGCTATGCCAGATCACACTGGATGACAGGGCATCATTGAAATCTTTTAATGATCTGTTGGGGGAAAATTTTCACCGTGCCCAACCACAGTGGGCATTCAGACCTGTCCTAGATCTGAAATCTTTGAAGATACAAACAGTACAGAAAATTAAAAACAGACATCTTGCTAACTATTTTACACAATTTAGAGCAAGGGTTTCACAGTAAGTATCACCCTCTCAATTTCTATTTACTACTCAGTATTGTTGGGATCAGCCCAGTATGAAGTTTTATGTTGTGCTCCGCCATCAGTCCCCTTCGGGGTGAGAAGGGTGGAATATAAATCTATATAAATAAAAATGTAATGTTCGTTTGTGGGATCAGCAGAACTAAAAAACCACTGGACGAATTGACGCCAAATTTAGACACAAGACACCTAACAACCCAATGTATGTCTTCACTCAAAAAAATTGATTTTGTCATTTGGGAGTTGTAGTTGCTGTGATTTATAGTTCACCTACAATCAAAGAACATTCTGAACCCCACCAACAATGGAATTGAACCAAACTTGGCACACAGTTCTCCCCTGACCAACAGAAAATACTGGAAGGGTTTGGTGGGCAGTGTCCTTTGGTTTTGGAGTTGTAGTTCACCTACATCCAGAGATCACTGTAGACTCAAACAGTGATGGATCTGGACCAATTCTACACAAAGACTCAATATGCCCAAATGTGAACACTGGTGGAATCTGGGGAAAACAGAATGTTGACATTTGGGAGTTGTAGTTGCTGGGATTTATAGTTCACCTACAATCACAGAGCATTCTGAACCCCACCAACGATAGAAATGGGCCAAACCTCCCACACAGAACCCCCATGTAGGCCACAGCAACGCGTGGCAGGGGACGGCTAGTGTTCCAAACAGGCCTGTAGCGAGGGGGGGGGTAGGGGTTCAACCCCCCCGAAATGTTTCAGATTTTTTAAAAAAACCTGGTTTATTCATGAATTTTAACTGGTTAACCAAATCCCCATGCTAAGTCTATGAGATGCAAAAAATTAAGAGTCCCTCCAGAACTGCAAGCACTATCTCAAGCAAATATTGACAATTTATTCACACTGTCATTACTTGCAGCAATAGCCGATGTAGTGAAGCAACCAAGTTGGGGTGTGTGTGTTGAATGCTCGGGCAAAGGTTGCACATCCTGTTCTAAAGACAATTATTTACAGGCCCAGCGCGACAGAACAGTAGTGAAGCAACCAAGTTGGGGGGCCAGAGATATTGAATGCTCTCATTAAGGAGGCCAGACTTGGTGGAGGTGGAAGACAGGGGCGGAGCTGCAGGCTATTGAAGGCTGCTCTGCCCCCTGCAGATGTGCTCTTTGCTTCAGCGTGAGCTAGGAGGCAGGTTTCAACCCCCCCCCCCAAATTTTCAAACCCCCCCCCCAAATTTCAACCCCTCCCGAATTTTTTTTCTGGCTATGGCCCTGGTTTCAAATAAATATGTAACTTGAAATATAATGACAAGAAAATTCCATTGATGAAACATACTTTTTTTTCAGACCACTAATCACCTTCTAGGACCAAAGCCATTCCCTCTTGACAGAATGTTAGCAATATTATACAGCATTGTGGACAGCAGAGTTGCTCCAACTGCGAATATATTTTCCCAGGTAAGTAAATACCCATATGTTTAGATTCTTGTGATTTTATTTAGTTTCTCTTTACAAAATAATTCCAAACTTGGGTCACTGTGTTATAACTAACAGCTCAGAAAAATATTTCAGATGTGTAATGAAAATTTGATATGTATCAAAATCGAATAAGCTCATTTCCCCCCTTTTTTATTGTAAGTCTTCCATCCAGGAATTAACCAGACCTGCTCTTCCTTAGCTTTTGAAGTCAGGAAAGAGGTATAGAGAAGAGGAAAGAGAATGTTTATATTAAAAATGAGTCCTTCCATACAACCAAACAAGCCGCCAAATCCAGGCTTCCGGTTTTGTCCTTGTGAATATTATCCGCTCTTAAGCTTATGTACAACAGAAGGGCATTGTGGAAATGAAGGGCACTGAGGTTTCTGCTTGGTAATTATAAATGTGTAACCTCTCACCAAACCAAAGCAGTCCAGACCTCAAGATTGATGGCAAAAAACCATAATAAAAATATAAATGATTGAAAATGATATCTATTGACGTATTTGCGTTATATTATCCCACAATTATGTATTTAAAGTAATAACTGTGTTCAAGACAATTATATAACAGCAGAAAATCTCTTAAATTTTCAGTCGACTAAATAAAATGTGCTGTTTCTTTGAGCAAGGGTTATAATGAATGGAACCAAAATGAGTCCAAATCCATAGGTTCTAATTCTTGAAGTAGAGCCAGAGATAATGGGTCTCCCTGGAGAATCTTGGGCAAGATATAAAATGTTGGTGTTTATGTATATGTTCATCAGAAAATCTCCAAAAGCAAATATATATACATACACACACACACACACACACACACAAAGCTTCCTGAACCATGATTTTAAAAATAAACTGTATGGATGACATACAATTCTCATCTGATGATAACTTTCTCTATCTTGTAACTGTCTGTAAACCTTATATTCATAATCAGTCTTACCCAATACAACCTTTATCAGCCAGTGTTATTATGATATGTGGATGGGATGCCTACCAGCTTAAAGTCAAGCATTCCCTTTTTGTTACATAGAGTCATGGTGATTTAAATGGACTTTATAACAGTCGAATATCCTTCAGAACTGCTTCTTCAAATGTAGAAATTCAATTATTATTGACCGCTAGCTTGAATTGAGACTTCAGCCTAAATTTACTTTTTTGGTCATATTGGGAAGTGTCAAAGAAATACTTTAACTTATGTTTGGTTATTATAAATAGCTGGTTCGATTACATGTCTGTCTATAATGAAATGATATGCTCCACTGTATCCTAGACTATCAAATATATTACTGTTTTTAGGATTTAAAAATATTATAATAGATTTTAGTTGTGTTCTCTTTCAATCTATATAGTGAGATGTCTTAAGTCCCATCTTGGGGGAACAGTGGGAAACAAAAACATAAATAGATAAGTTATTATAATTCACAGTTGATGTGCATTCAAGTCACCTGTGGACTTATAGCAACCCTATGCATTTTATAGGGTTTTCTGAGATAATGAATTGTGAGAGGTGGTTTTGCTAGTTTCATCCTCTGAAATATAGTCTACAGCACCTGGTATTCATTGGTGATCTCTCATCCATATATTAACCAGGGCAGACACTGCTTAGCTTCCACAACCAGACAGGATCTGATGTCTTTAACATATTAGGCCTTCCATAACTGACTTGCGAAGTTCATCATGAAATAACAGCCCCTATTTACACATCTATGGAAAGTTACCTGCCCATCAACCTTTTGTTTTTCCTTTTTTGCTCATTGTTTAAACTGCCAAACCAATACCTCATAATCTGTAATACCTTCCCTAAGCAGCTATCGTTGATCGTAAGAATGCTCTAGGTAACAACAGTACATAAGCAAGCTTTATCCCTATCTCACCTAGGGTTTTAACTTTTTAACATTTTACCTCATATATTTGGCTCACCCTCTGTGTCTGGTTTTACTATGCTGTTTTATATTGTTGATTTTGTTATTTTATATTTTGTTATGATGTATTTTATTATTGTGTGTTTATTATGTTGTATTATTTTGGGCTTGACCTCATGTTAGCCGCACCAAGTCCCCTTTGGGGAGATGGTGGTGGGTTATAAATAAAGTGTATTATTATTATTATTATTATTATTATTATTATTATTATTATTATATTAATATTGATAAACAAAACCCTTTTTCTTGAATATGTCAATGAGGGAATAATAATAATAATAATAATAATAATAATACTTTATTTATACCCCGCCACCATCTCCCCGAAGGGACTCAAGGCAGCTTACATGAGGCCAAGCTCGTCAAATACAAATACAACAATACATCCACAAACAAGCAAGCAAATAAAACAATATAAATAATACAATTGAACATATAAGCAATAACACACAAAAGATTTAAAAACATTAGGAAGGGTTTGTTTTTTCTCAAATGAAGAATTTTCACACAGTAGATTTTCTTTACAATGAGCAAAGTTTCCTAGTGGTACTGATAAGCAGATCTTGGGGTTTTTTGACAGCCTGCCTTAATCATTTTTTTGAAGTTAATATATAGTATGTTCTGCACAGTAATATTTTGACTTTTCACTAGAGGGCAGCATAACCTAATGAATGAAATCAGAGTTGCTTACAGCCTGCATCATAGCTCAAGTTGGCCTTTTAACTCAGATAAAATTGAAGCACATGTAATATCATTTTCAATATTGCCTTCAAATGAGGGAGAACCTGTCTGCCTAATGGGCAAAGGGCTCTTTATAGCTCAGTACTATCTTGATGTTCTCAGGCAGAAACTATTTCTTATACTGATGCTTAATGTATTTTAAACTGGGAAAATAAATGTGGAAAAAAACTCTTAATGCCAAGGAAAGGGGACATTTTGTTTCAGGGCTTGGAATTACAAACTTTTTTTTCATTGTGGTGCTGACTTGTTCTTGTTTTTATTTTTGCTAGAGATAACTAAGATTTATCCTGAGATCTTCAAACTTCAAACATAGGCTTGCTCAGGCATTTGTGAACCACTGGATAATTTCACCTAGAATCATAGAATCATAGAATCAAAGAGTTGGAAGAGACCTCATTAGCCATCCAGTCCAACCCCCTGCCAAGAAGCAGGAATATTGCATTCAAATCACCCCTGACAGATGGCCATCCAGCCTCTGTTTAAAAGCTTCCAAAGAAGGAGACTCCACCACACTCCGGGGCAGAGAGTTCCACTGCTGAACGGCTCTCACAGTCAGGAAGTTCTTCCTCATGTTCAGATGGAATCTCCTATCTTGTAGTTTGAAGCCATTGTTCCGCGTCCTAGTCTCCAAGGAAGCAGAAAACAAGCTTGCTCCCTTCTCCTGTGGCTTCCTCTCACATATTTATACATGGCTATCATATCTCCTCTCAGCCTTCTCTTCTTCAGGCTAAACATGCCCAGCTCCTTAAGCCGCTCCTCATAGGGCTTGTTCTCCAGACCCTTGATCATTTTAGTCGCCCTCCTCTGGACACATTCCAGCTTGTCAATATCTCTCTTGAATTGTGGTGCCCAGAATTGACACAATATTCCAGGTGTGGTCTAACCAGAGCAGAATAGAGGGGTAGCATTACTTCCCTAGATCTAGACACTATGCTCCTATTGATGCAGGCCAAAATCCCATTGGCTTTTTTGCCACATCACATTGTTGGCTCATGTTTAACTTGTTGTCCATGAGGACTCCCAAGATCTTTTTCACACATACTGCTCTCGAGCCAGACATCCCCCATTTTGTATCTTTGCATTGTTTTTTCTGCCAAAGTGGAGTATCTTGCATTTGTCACTGTTGAACTTCATTTTGTTAGTTTTGGCCCATCTCTCTAATCTGTCAAGATCGTTTTGAATTCTGCTCCTGTCCTCTGGACTATTGGCTATCCCTCCCAATTTGGTGTCGTCTGCAAACTTGATGATCATGCCTTCTAGCCCTTCATCTAAGTCATTAATAAAGATGTTGAACAGGACCGGGCCCAGGACGGAACCCTGCGGCACTCCACTTGTCACTTCTTTCCAGGATGAAGAGGAAGCATTCGTGAGCACCCTCTGGGTTCGTCCATTTAACCAATTACAGATCCACCTCACCGTAGTTTTGCCTAGCCCACATTGGACTAGTTTCCTTGCCAGAAGGTCATGGGGGACCTTGTCGAAGGCCTTACTGAAATCCAGGTACGCTATTAAGTGCCCCTTAATAGCAAAGGAAATAAAAGTGAAGGGATAACAGTCCAAATATCCTTTGTGTTCACAGTGAAGCATTGGAGAATGGCATGGGATTTCCCAGGCCCTAGTCACTGAATACATTGATGAACTAGACTGATTTACGGCTTTTCAAGATTCTGCCTTCCATCAGCCATACCATTGGCTGTGCTGATAAAGACTGATGAAAGTTGTAGCACAACAATATTTGAAGTCCACAAGTTATATCCTCCTCTGAACAAGGGCCTGAAAATCACTAACTTGGTCAGTTTCTACGTGTCTCTTCAGCAGTTGAACTATATTCTTTCTTAGATGTCATTCTATGTGCAGAGAGGGGCTGCAAAAACCTAGGTCAAACCGCTAATCACAACTCATGGAATAATTGAGGGAGAGAGCAGTGTAGTAAAGGAAATAACCTAAAGGCTGAACTGTTAAAAAAATCTTTAGGTCCAGTCAAAACAGGTTGTTAGGAAGAGATTAATAAAATCAAACACAACTTGACTTAATGTCAGGAGAAAACCTTTACCTTTACTTAATAGAAGCCAAATGAGATGTTTCTAGTTAGTGGTTGAAAGGTTAAGGCTGAAAATGTCAATTCCAGTATTTAGGTGGTAGTCATGTTCTTTCATTCCTGGGTCCCCAGATTTGCTTAACTGTTTCTTAGTCTCATTACCTTCTTGTGCATGTTAAAATCTATTCTCTCTCTGTTTAGGGAAATCTCCATGGGTGGGTCACCATCCATTTCAGCCCAGGCAAAGTAGAAAACCCATAATCGAAGTCTTACAGCTCTATT